AGAAATTCATTTTTATTTACATTAAAAGCAAGTGACTTGCCTTAATAAACATGTTTAAAACAACTCCCTTGCAACATGTTGCTAACAAATCTATAACATGTTTGTATTGTTTATCAACAAAATACAGAATATGTTTGATAAAAATCATGATTTTATTCAGTGTTAGAAAAACTACGTTGCTACCAAGTATTATATTATTGCTTTAACTACTGCTCCAAACAATTGTCTGAAGTTGTAGCAGTAGCATTTGTTTTGTTTTATAATCATACGTTTTTAAAACTTTTGCTACTTATAAAAAAGTAAATCTCAAAATATAGCAGTAGTAATAAAACAGTAGCAGTAGAAATAGTTCTAAATAAAACATAAACTACAAATGGAGTAGTAGCTTAAAAATATAAATAATTCTATTGCTACTTTTGATAAGTAGCAATAGAAATATTTGCTACTAGTTGATCGTTCTATTGCTACCAAATTATTGAAGTAGCAATAGAATAAAACAAAAAACTTCGACAAAAAAATAAACTAACAAATACACATATCTCAACGGGAAAAAGATTCAGTATAGGGGCCTTACTAAGGGCATTTTTCTATAGACACAAGTACATACAGCCGCATTGCAAAATCGTTTCAATTTTACATGCTTACTTAAAAAGGTCTTCCGTTAAAGGCTTTTTAGAAGATTTTCAGTCGAAGGATTTGTAAAATAGCCTTATAGGAAATTGCATTAATAATTATACATTAGAACTTATAAGAATTATATAAAGCAAATTTTCATACAAAATTTGATTCATAATTCTTTGATAAATGTGCAAGAATCCTTTTAGTAGAGGAAACAAAATCCTCCTTGAATATCTTTTGCGAAAAGGCAATGAGAAACTTTCATAATATATAAATATGTCTTCAGAAGGCCCACGAATCGAAGTCCTAGCATTTTTCCCCGCTACTTGTGCCTTTTTCTGAATGTCATAATTTTTTTTCGTATTTTAATAAAATTTTTATTTTTTTATGCTACCAAAATTTATGTAGCATTGCTACCAAAATTTTGGTAGCATTGCTACTTTATTTAGGTAGCAGTTGCTACCAAATTTTTTATTGTTGAAAAATATAATATCGTTTATTGCTACTTCAGGAAAATATTTACTGCTACTATTTGAAGTATTCAACTGTTACATTGAAACATTTAAATACTAATGACTGTACTACTGCTATCAAACTTTTTATTTTTTTGCTACATCTATAAATACTGCTACCAAAATCTAAAGGTATCAGTAGTAATAGTAAATGATTTGCTGCTAGTTTTTGAACATTTTCTAACTACAAAAGTAGTTATTTTTCGTTACTACAGCTACTTGTAGTCTAGTTTTTTAAACACTGATTTTATTTTGTGCATAGTGTTACCAAGGGTTATTTTATTTTAATATTTCCAGCAAAATTTTGCCCTGTATTCATTTTTCATTTATTAAATGTATCCTAAAAATCATTTAAGAGTTGGCAACACTTTATTTTTCAGGTTTTGTATTAAAATTTCAAAAATACGAACATTTTTCGAAATGAAAATTATTCTTAAGCCAGGTACCTGATTTCTATACAAACTAATACTATAGTTGTTGTTGTTGTTGTATATACAAAAAGTATAGTTTTTGTTTTTAATTTTTTTGCCTGGGAAAACTTGCTTTGCATTTTGGTTTCAAACAACTCAGGTATAAAAAGTATTTGGTTGCTTCTTCTTTTTTTGGGATATAGTCAGACGGACTGACTGTGTATGTCTGTATGTATGAATTATTTCATATGAATGTGTGTAAGTAATCCTAATACCTGAGTAAATAACAATAATGAATGTCAGCCAGAAACAGCAGTAAAATGTTGGAAATAATCAACCATCAGCAGATATAGGGTTTTGAAAAATAATTTTAACGTTATTATTGTTTTTAAGGTTGTGTACCATTAGTAAATGTTAAAAATAAAAGACAATAATGACAATTTTCTATAGCTGTTGTTGTTTTTTTTAGGAATCACACTTTACGAGTTTTATATTTTTGAAACATTTTGAAATGTTCTTTAATATAAACAAGAAAAATTTACATAATAGTGATAAATAATGTTGATAAATTTAATGCTTTCGTTTCGATTATTTCAAAATTAGAATTTTTTTTAAATAAAAAGGACGAACTGGTAATGAATGTAATTAATCATTTAGATTTAAAAATGTATTCGGCTAAAGTATAAAAGGGTTAAATTTAATAGTTTTTAGAAATTTGCATATTAGTAGTTTAAATTAAATGTATTATAATCAGCATTATTTATAAGTTTTTTGATTTCTTTTAACTACTAGTACACAATTTAAACATTTCTTTAAAGTATAGTAATATGATATGTTTTTTAACTTGATTTTTATATAAATATTAAAAAAATTAAATATTTTACAAAAAGGGTTTCAGTTTAGTTTGTATTATTTTTATAGATTGGCCCTTCATAACGATTTTTGCCTGATTTACAGACAAGACTTTATACCGATCTATAGACAGACATTAAAGAAGAATATAGATTGATATATAGTCAAAACTATTGACTGATGTGTATTAAAAACTTATCATGTCAAGATCATAGTCTGATATATAATTTTAGTCCCTACTATAAACTGTTATTTAGTCAATACTATAGACTAATCTATTGTCAAGATTATAGACTTATCTATAGTCAAGACTACGCACTGATTTATAGACAAGACTATTACAAAGGCAAGATTTATATTTTAAGTTTTAAACCGAATATTCAAGTCAAAATGTAACTTTGAAAATAGTAACTTTGAAGTTATTTTCTTGTTTACGAAAAATTAAAAGTGAAATATAGCAAATATTACATAGAACGCGCCCCTTGATGCCAAATAAAAGGCAGCTGTTAATTTTTTTACAGTTCTCTTTATTAAAGAATATATATCTTTTTTGTACAACCACTTAATTTTATACTTAATACCTTTTTGTAACAATTTTGAATACAATATCTAGCCAAAAGAGGGTAGTTTCCAAAAAATTACCAAAAATATGTGAAAAATAAATTTAACAAATAAATTTGCTAATAAATACAAATTAAAATTAAAAAACTTAAAGAATATTTATGAAAAAATTTAATTATATTATTAAAACTAGAAAAACCAAAATTTGTTGTGTTATTAAATAAATAAACATATAAAAACAAAATGTTTATTTGTGAGTTAAAGAAAACAACATCCATTTTTGACAGTAAAATAAAAACAAAACAAAAAAAAAACATCCCTAAAACTGACAGCAGGCAGGCACCAAACATTTTAAGCGTGGCCTTGCTGGGATGCATTTTTTCATTTTCTATTTTGTGTTCGTATTTTGCATTTAATGCGCAGCTTGTTTACATCGAAACCAACAGAAAAAAAAGAAAGCGGATATAAACTAATAAAAGAAACTTAAAAATAAGTTTAAAATAATAAATTAAGAAAATAAATTAATTTCAAATTATCAAAACTAGCCAAGCTAGAAAGAAAAAAATGTTAAATAGTGTCCAAAAAAACAAAAGCCAATTTTTCATACAGTTGGATAGTGAAAAATGGCTGAAAATTAAATAAAAATTCAAAAATTTTACTAAAAAAGCAATATTTAAACAACTCACCCATGGATAGAGTTAAAATATTGTTAAAAATTAATAAATAATATTTAACCATACGGTGGGATAGTGGTTAAATATATAATTAAAATAAATTTAACAAGAAAAAATAAATAAAAAATGAAACATTAAAACAATTTCAAACAATTAACAATGCCCATCTATGTATTTTACAACTGTGTTTATATTGTACATACGAAAATAAATCCACAACACAGCAACCCTGCTAACGTAACAACAAAACGTATATTCTTGACGTAACTCCTCTCGCTACTACGCGTTGTTGTGTTTTTTTAAGCAAACGAAAAAAAAAAAAAACAAGATTGTATTAAAAAAAAATAAGTGATAAATAATTGTATTTAATAAATTTAAACACATGATAAATGTTAAGAAATTATGCAAAGGTAAAAATTTAATTGAAAATTAACAAAAAAAAATATGTGTAAAAAATCGTGGTTATTTGGTGGCAAATGATGCAAAGTTAAACAATGTTGACAACTTGTTTGTAAAAATTAGTATTAAAAGTGTTTTTTTTTAGAGGTTTATAAATGAAAATTTAATTATTTTTTATTATAAAAAGAAAAATTTGTTTATTTATAAATAAAATGCTGTATGTATATATACATATAATTAATTAAATATATATTGTATACAAATTAGAGAAATAAATAAATTATTTAAAAGAAAAAAAAGCACGCTTTAAAAACAAACATTGCTTTAAACAATATTATGGAAATACAACAACCAAAACCTAAAAATTGTTTAAAAATATGTCTAAAATTTGTATAGATATAAGTAGGTATTCTTCCTGCCCATATCAGCAGAATTAGTTATAACCTAATAACTAATGTTAGTTTTTTAAACTAAATTATACCGGGTTGGATCCAATCGCAATGTTAAACAAATACTTTTGAAAGTTTCCGATGATTCCGATTAGTAGTCTTTGAATCCGATATACTTTTTTATATCAGATTTGTGAACATATTTTATTCTATAGTAAAGTATTCCTAACGTTCTAGGAAAATAGCCTTAAGGGCCAGGATTCTATAATGGTATGATCCTGACAAAGTGTATAAATGTGACTAACCTTTTTAAGAAACTTATTAGGTATACCATGTGATTTTATAACACATCCCGGTACTAATACCGAATTATCCTATTATATAAAATATAACGACTATAGGTTAATCATGGACCTTTCACTAAATTTTTATTATTTTAAAGTTATAGTAGCATCTAAACATTTACATAATACCTATGTAAATATGTATTTACGAGAAATCATAGCCTTTTTTTAAAAACAATTTAAATAAAAAATTTAAATAAAAAAATAAAAAATTTCCTTTATCTATATTATTTTCCTATAGGTCTACAGAAGACGTATCACCACCGAACTTTTCAGAACGGAACAGTGGCTACTATGAACGCAATTCTCGTTTAGTTTCTGAAACTGATTCCTATCTAAGGCGTTCAAATAACAATAGTTATCAAAGTAGTAGCAGTAGCAATACAAATAATAATAGCAACAGTAGTAGCAGTAGTAGTAATAATAATAGTTCTACAAATAATCCAGATAATAGAAGTCGAACAAGAGATAAATTATATAGAAATGGTCCTAACGCTGCGGGAGTGTCAACAACAATTACATCTGGTTCTTCAGCAGCAACATTGTTAAGTGAAAGGTAAGTTTGTGCAACTAAAGCAAACTCTTACAACATAAAAAAACAACAAAAAAGAAATTCAAAATAATCAAAAATTCAAGTTGATAAAAGAAAGAAATAGTTCAATAATAAACAGTTTTTTGCTAAAAAAAATTGTAATTTCAATATTTGCGCTATGTTTATTAGAACCTCAACTGGCGCTAGCAGCAACAAAATCAATAATAGCCGTGTACCGCCTACGTCATGGTACGAAGCTGCTGCGACGTATACAAACGGTCCTGGTGGCAGTGGCAATGCCGACGTCTCAGCAGCAAAAATCAATCACTATCAAACTGCCGCCTCAACAGAATTACAAACAGCAGCAGCAACAACAAATTCCACCACAACCTCATCCTACACCGCATATTCCTACGCTTCATCACCTGCCCACAACAACAACAACAATCAGAACCACAATACAGCATCCGGGACGACGACGACGTCGTCATCATCACGCAATTCAACGTTTTACGGCAAAGATACAGACAAAGATTCCGAAGCGAATTTGTCCACAACGCCGCCGTTGTTAAATAAAAATAAACAGAAACTTTTAAAATCTTCATCGTTACGTAGTGGTTCATCATCACCGACAGCATCATCCACAACAACGACGTTTATAGGTGGAGTATCAGGCGCTGGGTTGGCTACAATGACTTCGTCCTCGTCAACTGCAGCCTCTGCGTCGTCATCAGCGTCGTCCTCGTCACTATCATCGACCTCTAACAATAATATTAATATTAATAGCAGAAGTAACCAAACGGCAAATAATAGTTGTAGTAGCGTTAGTAGTACAATCAATAGTAGTAATACAAATACAAATAATAATAATAATAGTTTAAGCGGCAACAGTAGTAGTGTAACCAATACAGATAACACACATAGTGGCAGTGGAAGTGGCAACGTAAGCGGGATTTTAAATGCCGCCGCGTTGGCAGCTGCTGCTTCAAAAGGTGGTTCTTCGTCAAATGAGGGCCATAAAAATCATAGTAGTAGTGGTGGTATTGCAAATTCCTCGTCTAATGCATCTGCCTCTGGTAACACATCTTCCAATAATCCATCAACATCCGCCTCGCATCATACATCGCGTTCGGCGGCGCATGCGCATTTTCATGGACGCAGCACTACTTCATCAAGCCGTTCGCATTCCCGTTCTCCGAGTAGCTATAGTTCGTCTCACAGCTCTTCGTCATCTTCCTCTTCAACCGCCTCGTCACATTCACACGCCTCCAGTCCGGTGGGCGGCCGAGATGTGGAAACCTCATCTATAACCCACGTATCGAGCAGCCGATCTGGATCGCGTAGTTTACAATCGGCTGTTGCAGTGCCGGGTACATCGTCGACCGGCCTAAATCATCCCAGTGGCTCAAATGTTTGTGGCAGTAGTAGTAGCAGTACAAGTTCAACTAGCTCTGGTACACCTACTGGCAACCCTGTTGTACATTCCGAAGATAATCGTCCCCTGGCGATACGTGTCCGCAATTTACCCGCCCGTTCCTCGGACACATCTCTTAAGGATGGCCTTTTTCACGAGTACAAGAAGCATGGAAAAGTGACGTGGGTCAAGGTGGTGGGCCAAAACGCGGAACGTTACGCTTTGGTGTGTTTCAAAAAACCCGAAGATGTGGAAAAAGCTTTAGAGGTATCTCATGATAAATTATTTTTTGGCTGTAAAATCGAGGTAGAACCATACCAGGGCTACGATGTCGAAGACAACGAGTTTCGCCCCTACGAAGCCGAACTGGACGAATACCATCCAAAATCAACGCGTACCTTGTTCATTGGTAATTTGGAGAAGGAGATCACGTCCAATGAGTTGAGACAACATTTCGAATGCTTTGGCGAAATCATTGAAATCGACATTAAAAAGCAGGGCATGTCTGCTTATGCATTCTGTCAGTATTCCGATATTGTATCTGTGGTGAAGGCCATGCGCAAAATGGATGGAGAACATTTGGGTAACAACCGCATCAAATTGGGTTTCGGCAAATCAATGCCTACCAATTGCGTTTGGATTGATGGTATTGGAGAAAAGATCTCTGAGTCGCATTTGCAATCTCAATTTTCGAGATATGGCGCGGTCAGCAAAGTTGTGGTGGATCGCCAAAGGCAATTGGCATTGGTGTTGTATGAACAGATACAATACGCACAGACGGCAGTGAAAGAGATGCGAGGAGCCACCTTAAGAGGTCGTAAACTTCAAGTGGACTTTGCGTCAAGGGAATGTCAAGATGCGTTTTATGAGAAGCTTGAAAAACAAAGTGCTGGTAAGGAAAATAAACTATATTAATCGTGTAAAAAATAAACTACATATTATTTTTACTTTAGGATCGCGTTTTAATCGCTATGAATCGCAGTCACGATCCCGTGCTTCGTCATTTAGTCGTCACCAGAATTCAAATGATGGCTGTTCACCTGGTAACACTCCGGGTAGCAGCAGTAGTAGCAGTGCCGGTGTACCACCGTCAGCACCAGCTCTATCTTCTGCCATAGTAACGGGATCATCTGCTCTCTCTAATGCCGCCAGTGGCAATACTCTAGCCTCAGTAGTGGGACAGGCATCCGGCAATACAACGCCCGCACGTAGTCGTGGTTCTCGAAGTTCTAGACACACAATGGATTACGAGTATCTAGATACACGTAGATTTCGTTCCTGTGATGAATATAGTCAGGGTTCTGCAACATCGCACGATGAAGACAACTCGGCTGTTAATCATCCGTCATCCAATACGAACTCGTACAGTGGTATTGGTCTACGGTCCGATTCACCTCTACTTTCACGACTGGGTCCTATTGTTAATACTAGTGGCAAAGAATCCAGTAGTGAAATGTTGGAGTTGGCTTTAAGCCGTCGTCGTTGTGATAAAAGTCCCAAAGGTAATACATATACAGTTTATAATATTGGGAACATTAATTCAAATGATGATTCTCAATTTGTAGGTGATATACGTTTATTTCAAAAAGAACGTGCTGTTCTGCTGGAACAACTTGAAGAATGCCCGTCCAGTGGTGATGAGAGTATAGTGAGTCCCCGTAAACGCATTAAAATTGATCATCATTCCATTAACTCCTCAAGTGGATTGGTAAGTGTCAGAAAGAAATAAAATTACACTTTCCCGTTTTTAAAAAATTATCAAAAATATATTATTTAACATTTTAGGTACAATCTCACTCGATGGATGAACAACAACCACAACATAAAAACTCAAACTGTGATTACTTATTAAATGATCCAATGCACCGTAAAAGTGAGGTTAGACGGCTGTCTGAATGCAATAACAGTCTCAACAAGTACCCAACACCTCAGCAAAATCACCATCACTCTCATCATGCGGTACCACCACCGCCACCTCATCATCACCATCATCAACAACAGCTAAGTCGTCGACCGTCCATTGATTTTATGGCGACAAGTGGCGGTGGTGGTGTGGCAGGTGGCGTAAGCAGCTTGTCAACACGTCATAACAGTACTAGTAGTTCAAACAGTGATCATCACCCGCCACCTCATCAGTCTTCTTCGTCATCATCTTCTTTGGCATGTAAACGGCGACGTGTTATTGGTAGCAGCAGTAATGCAATTGTTACGTCAAGTTCTATGTTGTCGGGTTCTACTGGCGGCAATTCAAACTTGTCCTCGTTTGGTAATGATGATTGCCATCATCATACATCGAGAGGTCGTGGTCACCAATTACATTCCCATCATTCGCATGAGGCTAGTGGGGGCGAAAGTGCGGATGGTTCACGACCGGGTACTCCCTTATGCGATGAGCGTCCCGAAGTTTTGCCTAGTGAACCCAGACGTGTTCCGCGCGAAAGACCACGAGAACCAATGGTATTGCCTTTGCCAAAGTTCGGTATACAATTCTTTCATCAGTACCGAAACAGCATTGCGGCAGGAAATACACCGATCTACCATCATATTGGCAGCAGTTTTACAAGTTCTTCTGCTGCTGGTGGAATGGGTGGAAGCAACAACTCGGGAAGCTCACATTCGCTGTCAAACAGCATTCTCAATCGAGGGGAAGGGGGTATTAGTAATAGTAGTCATTCTAGTCTTAGTCATAGTTCTGCAACGATAACTCCAGCATCGACGGCACCCACAGGAACGTCATCTGGGGGTTGTTACCTACCAAGTCCATCGACTCGTTATACTCCTCATTGGCGACCACATCATCATCAGCACCACCACCATAATCAACAACACGGTGGCGCTCATCATGGTCCTTCGGGAGGAGCGACTCCATCGTCATCATCATCCATGGTTAGCCCTATGAGATCACGTTCTCTAAGTTCGAATTCCAGCGATTCTGATGTTCCTGGACAATCATCAACCGGTAGTCCCTCGTTAGAAGAACGCATACGTACGTTGGATGAAATGTACGAACGTTGGTCAGGGGGAGGTACGAGCAGCAGCAACATAGCAGTCGGATCTAATGTAGTTAAGCGTCACGATTTTAACCACACACCGCCAACATGGCAACATCATCGTTCCAATTCGCAATCAGATTCGCATCATAGCAGTAACAGTGATGTAAGGTCCAACGCCACACCCTCAACACCTGCCAGTCGCCCCAAATTTCTTGACATCGATGTCAATGAGATGCAACCTTCGGACATTGTCAAATCGGTTTTGGCGAAAAAATCGATATTCGATGATGATTTACAAAGGTTAAAGAAAAACCATTGGTATGAACCAAGTTCGGATTCCTCACAACTAACTAAGGCTATTATGGGAGTTTGCACCTCACCGGGTTTACCAAATCTACAGGCTACAAAAACACCTGTGGTAGGATGTACTACAAGTTTAACAGGATCAGGAGCTGTGAGCTCGTTAAATAAACCATCCGGTGCTCTGTTGCAACGTTTAAGCAGTTTATCGCCTATGAACTCACCACAAGCCTCAATGTCACCCTACAATAGTCCTTCACCATCGCCTTCTGTAACCCTTAGCAGTGTAACATTGGTCTCGAATACCACTATGACAAAGGTGACAGGAATAAGTAGCTGCGGTGGTAACCCCGGCTCGCAAACTCCTAGCGCTACAGCAGCCCTTTCAACATCACCAGCTGCAAGTGGAGGGACAAAATGCCTGCAATATCCCTTCCCCACGCATCCACCATTACCAAATACAGCTGCTCCAGTGCAAAGTGCGCAACCAATACCTCCACCTCCGGCCGAAAGTTCGAAGCCTTGTATAGCTCAACCGCCTTTACCTCCAATGGAGGTATTACAACCACCTCAACCGCCAGCAACGTCGCCCACATCTTCCGCGATGACATCTGGATCATCCACAAAGCCAAAGACCTCAGCTCTTTCTAAAAGTTTAAGTGTACCGCCACCGCCACCATCGACGGCAACGACGGAATCACGAATTTTCACCAAATCAGTATCAGTTCCTGGCAGTACAAACTTGGGGACAGTAAAATCCACTGCTGATGCTTCGGCGGTGAGTCTCACAGCTGCTCCTCATTTAGAACAAAACCAACCTCAACAAACAACAACCGGTAGTAGTTCCTTACACCCCTCAAAGTCTCACAACAAAGAAGACAAAGAAGATACAATTGTAAAACCTCCTAGCCACACTTCGTCCTCTTCCACCTCCACCTCCGATAACGTGGTTAAACGAGGTGAGAAATCGCACAAACACAATCATCGCAGCAGTGAAGATAAGAAATCATCGAAAAATGATAGAAGAAAAAACTCGAACTCTTCACAATCACACTTATCGCAAGCATCTGCAGCCGAGTCGAGTGATGCCGATGAACATGACAGCAAAAAAGAACGCAAGGAGCGACAGGAGCGGCGCGAAAAAGAGCTCCGGAAGCAACAAGAACGCGAGGAACGTGAACGTGAAGAAAGAGAACGAGAAGAACGTGAACGAGAAGAAAAAGAAAGGCTGGAAAGAGAACGGCTGGAGGCTGAACGACTCGAGAAAGAACGACTAGAAAAAGAAAGAGTAGAAAGGGAGCGTTTAGAAAAGGAAGAACGTGAGCGCGTTCAACGAGAAAAAGAACGCTTGCGAAAAGAAGAAGAGCAAAGGGCAAAAGAAGAACGTGAACGTAAAGAAAGAGAGGAAAAGGAGCGTAAACTCAATGAGCAGAGAGAACGTGAAGAAAATGAAAGAAGAGAACGCGAAGAAGCCGAACGTCGCGAGCGCGAAGAACGTGAAGAACAATTGCGTAAAGAACGAAAAGAGAGAGAAGAACTTGAACAAAAAGAGAAAGAGAAACTTGAAAGGCAACGTATGCGCGAAGAAAAAGATCGTGAACGTAAAACGCAGGAAGAAGCCAATACTGAACATAAACGTGATATTAATCTTCTAAAAGAACATCAACGACGCAAAGAAAATGCAGCCAGTCAAAACCAAGCGAAAACTGGTAATGACATGGGTAATGCCACAAGTCAAAGCGCTCATGAATTCTTTCGCCAAGGTGAAACAGAACGCCAAAACAATAAGGAGAACTCCACAGAAGAATCTCCATCTTTGGATACAGCTTCTGCAAGTAGTAAACACAAAAATCGTAAAACTTCACGTAATACGTCGCCAGTGAGACATCCAAAACGCAGACTTAGTTCCCAGGACAGTAATGCCAGTAATAGTGCTGCTTCGGCGGCATATGCTCACACAGACGATCATGCCAAACGTATGCGTATAGATTTACAAACGAATGCAAACCAGCCTCAAACACCGGTCAATAATCACAACGCTGTAAATAATACCATTAATGAGAGACGCGATTCTAAAGAACACCATGCTAAGGAACGTAGCAATAAACATAATCGCGTGGCATCATCGGGACACAAGCCGGGCAATATTGTAAATCAAACCAATGAAAAAGAACACAATACAAAACATCATCGTAGTAAGCATCACCATAAAGCCCAAGCAACAAGTCAAGGAACTAGTGAATCAAGCGATGTTAATCTGTCTAAACCAGAAACGGAACAAGTATCATCCAACTGCATGACTAAAACAGAAGATGAGCAACAAAATACTGACCATGACATGGATCTCAAGCCTAAGATTCCTCCTTTACTTTCCTCGGACGAGGAAGAAGTCTCTGAAACTCCTAGTACGGCAACTCAACATCATAATAAAAACGTTTCAGGTAATCATAAACATAGAGATCATGGCAGCGGTCATCACAGTCGACATAAGAGTAACAAACGTGAACGTGAGCATCACCGCGAGAAAAAGAGACATTCCTCATCGGCAGGAACTCCAAATTCAGCAAATGCAAATGAATTAGTGCCTTCTACGCCTCCTTCCGCAAATTGCAATGTTACCGATGAGGAAACAATGCCACCAGCTGGAAACCAATTGGCTCACAGACGAACATCTGGGCATGGTACAGGCTTCGATATTAATGCAAAAAGCAAACATGATGTGTCTGATAGGAAAATGTCTCGATGTTCGGAAGATGGTAGTGGCGTACAACCACAGACCCCCTCACACCGTCAAAACAACTTAAATAAAAGTACACCTCAATCTTCGTCGAGGAGAGTGCTGCTTAGCTCAGCCGAAGACACTGACGGTGGTGGTGGTGGTGTTGCTGGCATGGGTGCCGATGATGACGACGATTCCGATAATCGACAACATTCAATATTTGATATACCCGATGACGGGCCCTATGTCTCCATGTATGACAAAGTAAAGGCAAGATCATGTAAAAACATGCAAAAGCAAGAGGAGGAAAAGAAAATAAAAGCTAAATTTTCCCAACTTAAACAATCGCGAGCCAAACGTGAGGAAAAGAAAAGATCCACAAGCTATGATGGTGACTCTGACTCAGATTTCGATGGGGCAAGCAGTGAACATCAGAAACAACACAATCGCAGTGGAGGCTCTTATAAAATGCTTACCGGTGGTTTATCGTCAACTGATGATGAACAAGATATGGAAGCTGGTGGTAAAACTCCAAGCCGAGACAGAAGACGTAGCTCGCAAGCATCTTCTTCAGCAAATTCCATACATCCAAATCGTGTGTGCTCGGATTCCGATGAAAATTCCGTTACCCAGAGACGCCTTAAATTGCAAGACAATCTCAGACGTTTATGTGACGATGGAGATGATACTTCTGAAGATGATTTAATAAGACGCCATAACAGTGGTCTGGCTAACAAACGTTTATTACATCATACATCTCGCATAGCTTCAGATTCTGAATCTCAATCCCAATCGGCAGTGGATATTAAACTAAAACAAGAGCCTTTAGAAACTTCCAACGATGGTACTACTACCCCTGTGCTGAAGCATTTGAAACAAAGAATTAAGAAAGAAGTTGATTGCATGGAAGTATCTGGTGAAACTGCTGATTTTAATGAGTTTAAGTTCAAGAGTCTAAGCTCGATGTGCTCATCTGCTGACGAGCAATCTAATATCAAGTCTGAAACTACTGGTGAACTTTTATCTGCTAATGAAATTAAGAAAGAATCTAAAGATTACTATGCCGATGAATATCTGCAATCAGAACAGAAATTCCACAAGTCTCCGATGGCGTCAGCTTCCCAACATTGTTCTCCGGAACAGGCAAAAATAAAGAAGCACAAAAAGAGCAAGAAACGTCAGAAAACTCCTACCCAGGATTCGGTGGCTAAGGAACACATTTTGACAGATAATTTGGTCAAACATACACCTCAAGCTACTAATGCGGCCTTTTTGACTATTACCAATGATACGAAGAATAGCAAACTTTTAACATCGCCCTGCTATGATGCATTCGACGAACTGAAACGTGGAGACACATTGGTAACCCATACTTCTCCAGAACTGCAAATAACAGCAGAAAAGAAACGCCATAAGGAACGCAAGGAGAAGAAACGTGAAAAGCTAAGACACATGAGTGCTGATGTGGGTTCTGTGGCGGAATTGGATAAAATGGTTTACGAAAAAGAGAAACATCGTTTAAAGAAATCGAAAAAATCCAAGAGTTTAGATGTAATGCGTCAAACTTCGACTACCACACCAAGTGCGGGCTCTACGGTTAATGTTCAAGAACAGCTAATGTCAACGGTACCAGCAGCATGCACACCTCAGCATAAGCAGCGTAGTGGTGGTGAAAAAATGGAAGATATATTTGGTCCAATTTCGGACGAGGACGACGAAGATCTATCAGATAGCGATATTGGAGGTAGAGATTTGAATTGCATTACCAATCGCAATAACTCGTCATCAAACATGCCAGGACCAATCGTATCTGCAGCTCTAAATCCTTATAAGCAAGAACCACTGACGCCGAAATCTCATACAGTAGAAGAGAATGAGGAAAATAAGCAAAAGCTTACATGTAACACGCTAATTGGAGCTTCGGCACATTTAGAACGGGTTGCGGAAAGGCAACATCGCAAGGAAAAGCGAGAAAAGAAACGCAAAGAACGTGAAAAGTCACGCAGCTCTGAACAAAATCAATCTATCGGCTTTATGCCGTCCCCAGCAGTGTCAACAGCTAAACCAATGGAAGACGAAAACAGTGTGGATTTAGATGCAGCCGGCCGAGCTTTGGAAGCTCAGCTTATGGAAGACTCGGATAATAAAACTGTTGAAGATGCAACACCGTCTACAGCCAACACATACCGCAGTGATATGACGGATGTTTTCCTCTTCTCGGACTGCGATGAGAATTCACTAGAAATGTCTTCCACGAATAAACATGAGAAAAAGGAAATTGAAAAGGAGCACACCACTAGCGTTGGATGTAAAAATAAAGAGAAAAAGAAAAAGAAGAAGCGGTCCAAAGAGGAGAAGCAATTGCATCATCAGAGACGTGAATCTTCTTCATCGAATGCCTCACAGTTGGCGTCAACAATGGTGGCTCCTTCTACATCCACTACCACAAAGCTAACAATCGATGTACAAGCTGCGACAAAGCATGCTCAAAAGTCAACAGAAGAACCTTTACCAAGCTCGTCTTCACCTCTGTGCAAACCGTCACCTTCATTGCCATGTCTCATAGGAGACGACGATGATGACTTAAATGCATTACAGGGAACTAAATCAACACCAAATACATCCTTAACAAATGTTACCAGTTCAATGTGCACAACACCTAATCGTTCTTCCTCCAAAGATATGCTCACATTGTCGCCACACATGAAAGATAAACAAATGATAAGTCCTATACCAAAGACACCCACGATAAATAGCACTAGTTGTCTTAATACATCAGAGAATTTGAATAAGGTTGAAGTAACGACACCAAGCACTCCCACTTCATCAATGGTGGGCACGGCTGATAATGCTAACACAAATTTGAATACAACTCCAACGTCTTCCACTGCTGCAGCGGCCAAAATCCTCAATAAATCTAATGATTCATCTGCAAGTTCGAATATAATGGATTCGCCCACTTCATCTTTGCATACCACGCAACAAAAGAAAAAACCAGAAATATTTATACCTGGATTTGATGGCGAAATTGATGAACGCATTAGTGAATCAGCTGTACAGTCAATATCCGCTGAATTCAATCCTCCTCTAGATCCCATGGCCGATGAACCGAAAATACCCGTAGAATCGCCACCTGATGCTTCGAAATTAGAAAAACTTGAGGAATCGAAGTCAAGGGTAACAATATCGCAAGAGGAAACTGAAAGTGCTGTTTCGGCCTTGCTGGGAGAAAGCTTTGGCAATTCCTCAGCCGATTATTCATTCAATGATGACGATGATGGTATGGATGATTTAAATAATGCCATCACAGATCCTGAACCAGTTATGGCACCAGGTGAGCCCGACGAAGAGGCCGCCTTGGCAGCAAAAGCTATTGAATGCGAAGTGGCCAGTTCGGCCATTACAGATACGGTCGAAGAGGACACTGAAGAGGTATGCAAAGCTATACAAAGTTTAAGACAAGAAGAGCTTGACATCAAAGCCGATACACCACAGTCAGTGAGAGATTTACAAATCGACACCGATACCGAGGAGAATGTGGACGAAGCCGATAGCAGTGGTAGTCATAGTTTAAAAATAGATGAAACTGCACAGTCCAACAATAGTTCAACTGCTTCGGACAAAGCCAACACAACAGCAAATCAGACTGTGGATGAGCCAGCGCAACCATCCACCACAGAAACTGAGGTAAAAACTGAACCTAAGCCGTCAGTTATAACAAAAGTAGAGTCTCCGATTAAGACACAACCCAACAATCGCTCTACTAATGAACCAAAAATAGAACCTCCAACCATAAGTAAACAAGATCAGCCTGCAGTACAACCAGTACAGGCTGTAATGTCGCCAGCAACATTGGAAGTATCTGTACCATCGACCGTATCAACATCTACAGTCGTCTCGAGCTCTAGTATGTCGACATCAATGAATACAACTACCTTAGCAGGTGGTGTCAGTATGTCTTACACTTCTACGCCGATTAAGACTTCCATAACGTTTGCACCCACTTCTACTAGTTCATCAACACCGAAACAAACACATTTGCTAACAGGAAAATCAATTACTTCATCCACTTCTCCTGCTGGTTATGTCATGCAACCACCTACCATAACAATACCAGAACCTTCGACACACTTTGTTGTACCACAATTAGTGCTGTCACCTAGAGGAGTTGTTACTACTGCTCATCACAACGACTCATCCTCGTCCTCCTCAGCTTCAGTGCATTCACCAAGTGGACATCACATGCCACCGCAATCGCCGGTGGGTGCTACTTATCTAATGGGTGTAAGAGCACAATCACCTCATAGCCCTAGACAGCATACGTCTCGAGGTAATACACCAACACCCAGACAGCCTAGTCCTCACACCCCAACACCCACACCACCACCGATTGCAGTAACACCTCAACATCAGCAACAGCAAAACTTACTAATACAGAGAACGGTGCAGCAGCATCAACAAAACTTAATGTCACCACCCTCTCAGGGGCATGTTTCACAAAATAACAGCCCATTGGCAAGTCCCACATTGCAGCAACGTCAAATTGCTCAAGGCGTAGCAATGCATAAGGTAACACCCCAGCAACAACAGCCATCCCCGAATGCTCCTGACCAACATATGATTAAAATAAATAACTATTCAACGCCACCATCACAAACACTGAATATGGTGAATATACGCATACCGCCGGCGTCACCACAACAACATGGTCAACAGCCATCTCCACAGCAGATGAGTCATGGTAAAACTGTTAATGATCAACAGCAGCAACAACATGTACCAATGGGTCAACATATACTACCTATCTCGGTGCAAAAAATGCCTCCTGTACCGACACACCCCACAATAATCAGTAAAGTTGTGACTGTAACACCACAACAGGCTCAGCAATCAATGATGCAACCTGGTCCAGGTGGTAATATGTATTCGCCTTCTTCAACTGGTGGCAGTGGTGCAAATCAGTCAAGACAATCTTCACAGGTTTTACAAGTTGGTGGTAAAACTTTGCATCAGCAACAATCGCCTCAAATGCAGTTTATGCAACAACAACAACAGCAGCGTCAACAGCAACATATAATGCAAATGCAACAACAACAAATAATGCATCAACAGCAAAAGCTGCCACAGCAACAACAAACATCAATGTTAGCTCAAACACAAACACAGCAGCAACAGCAACAACAACAGCATCATCAACATCAGCAACAACAGCCTCAACATCAGCAACAACAGTCTCAACATAATTTTGTTGTCACGCAACAACGAAATCTCCCTTCACCCCAACAAATGCAACAACAACAACAGTCACATAATGCCCAGCAACTGAAAGTACAATATCAGCAACATCAAATGTTGGCTCCTTCGCAACAGTCTCCAACCCAACAACAACAACAACAACAAACAAATGTTATACAAAATACAACGTTGCCGCAAAGATTTTTGGTGCAGCAACACATTGTTGGTTTACCACCACAACAGCAGCAACAACACTCTAGCGCACATCAGCAACCACAGACAAATTCCTCACCGAATCAACTACAAAATTCAAGTACACAACAACAAAAACCAAATGCAATCTTTGGAAAGCATCAACAACAACAGCAGCAGCAACAACATCATCTTTTGCAGCAAAGACAACAATCACCATCACCACATAGACTGTTACAACAACAGCCGGAAATTATAAAAGAATCTCCTCGAGTCATTATGGCGACAAATCAATCCGTACAACAAAGTGAGCCACTAGCAACGACACCTGTTGTTTCGAAACCAAATGTTGACAAGCAAAGTTGCTCTCCCACTACATCAACGGCGCCAGGAAACAAGCCTACTGAAGTAGTATCGGTTATAAGAACACCGACACCTACAACAACAGCAACGTCACCAATAATCTCGTCACACCCGCCAAATACTACAATGGCGTCTAATAAAGAATCAGCTACAACAACTGCTGCTGCGAACACCTCACGTTCTGCACCCTTAACCGAGGAGAATGTGATAAAAATTTCACCACCAAAACATGATGAAATCGAACAAGATTCTAAAGAAGACAGTGACTATTGGTCGGCAAAGGAATTGAATGTGGTTGAAACAAATAACACCTCTAATTCCAATGCAAATGCTATGAGTACGGTCATCAAAAAGAATGAATCCGTTAACTCTACGGAAGCAAGTGTTTCAGCATCAGCAAGTTCAACACAACCATCTAATACTAAAGAACAAGAAACTAAAACTTTCCAAACGCAACTAAATAAAGTTGAGAACAAACCTTCCACTCATCAAACGGCAAAGAGTGATGTTGGCACTGTTACTGCTGCGGAATCACAAGGTAACTCGACAGCAAATATAGTACCTACAACTAATACCACCAGCTACTCCCAATCTCAATCTGGTAATGTAACAACAGACCATGATACCGAAGACGAAACAGAAACTCAACAAATGCCAGCATTTGAGCAGGTACCAATACAAGGCAGACCTAGTACTAGAGGTACAGGTGCTAAACGTGGACGTCAACCTAGGGGTGGCAAGAAAGGAGCTGTTACTAATATCAGCAATACCCCAATAAATACCAATGTTAACACACAGCAGTTACAAACAGAATTGGGCGCTGCAGCTGGTGTACAGACTCGTTTGCGTAAACCAAATACTGCAACACCAGCTACCCGTGGACGCAAGGGTAGACCACCCAGGAATTTGTTGTTACAGCAACAACAACAATTGCAACAGCAACATCAACACCATGAACAGTCAACAGCGACACCTCAAACATCACCTCCAAATAGTACACCGTCCACAACGTCATCAAATGTATCCTTAGTGACAAATGCTCCGGTGCTAACTGCAGCTGAAAAGAAAGCACGTAGTCAAGCGGCAGCAGCTGCTGCAGCCTTAGCTTCACTATCTGAAAGTAATCAACAGCAACAACAACAAGATGTTTATGAATTTCACGATGAATCGGGTGATGAAGCTAAAACAACAACAACAGCTACACTTTCTACCACCACAACAACATCAACTACAACTTCTACAGTCAGTAGTGATCATCGGCCACGCTTGATTTTGACCATCAAAAGTCCAGCTCCAGGTTCAACTCCTTTAGTTAAAGCTTCTGAGAAAGCGGTAAACATAGAACCAACCACTGTGAAACCTCTTAGCGAACCAACAACAACAACAGCTCAACAGTCTGGCGGTTTGCCAGATAATTTAGCAAATATTACACAGTCTGCTATACAACCAGCAAATCAAAGCGCAGAACCTACTGTAGCGGAATTAGCTGCTGCAGCCAATACACGCAAATCACGTCGTTTATTGGAAAAGGATCGTAGCACAATTGATGATATAATTGAGGATGTGGTTAGAAATACTGCTACTAATGCTGCTGGCGGTAATGCTGTAGCATTAGCAGCCACCGCAACGAATGTTTTAGCGAATACTCTTCCCAAAGGAGCTCAAACACCGCCACGACGTTCTGGACGCAATTCTGGCCAATCGAAGCCTACAAAACCAGTTGAAGCTATACAAACTACATCAGCCCATCCTACTGGTAGACCTAGAAAGTCTAAGGATCGTAAGAATACCAATGAATTGGATATTGAGCAAACTCCTTCGCCTCAACCAAAACATTTAGTGCACGATATTAGCGATGTAGAAGATGCAAAATCTGTAAACACTCCACCGCCTGCCGATGTAATAAATGTACAGCCAACACAGCAGCAACAGCCACAACCCACTCAAGTTGCTGCTGGCAACATGTCGTCATTACAACAACCACTAACACCACAGCAAACTACATTAACTACTGCAACCTCAGCAAGTATACCACAACATCCCAAGAAGAAAGCTTTGGCAGCTGCAGAGATTGAATCTTATCAGTCTTCTAACACAACGACAACTGCAACAACAACACCTAATATACATTCTGCTTTGCCAGCTGGCGGTGTTCCCATGCTGAATACGGCCGCTCCGGCAACACAAAAAACTACTGGAGGTGCGGCAGATTCTGTAAATAAACCCTTAATAGATCCCGTCACCGGTGTTGTATCTGGATTGCAAATGCAACAGGCCAAAGAGGGCAATTTGCCATCAGCGACTGCTGCCTCCCAACCCTTACGTGGTCCCATGGATCCTAAGAAAATGATGCAAGCTGCAGCAGCGGCGGCAGCAGCAGAAAGTAATGCTCTCAATAGTAAATTACAAAATACATCCTCATTAACTGGGTCAGTTGCCTCTACTCCAATTACTGCTTTGACAAAACATCAACAACAACAAGTTGAGGGCGCCGCAGTCACTCAGTTGCCTGCTTCTACAGTTGCTACTGCTATGTTGAACAAATCAGTTAGTGTTGTGGTAAAAACTTCAACACTCTCACCTACACCAACACCACCACCTACAAATATTGGTATGCAACAACAACAACAACATTTGCAACAGTCACAGCAGCAGCAACAACATATTCAGCAACAACAGCACCAACATATTCAGCAACAGCAGCAAAGACAAGATATTGGAACTCCCCAGAAACAACCCATAATAATGCAACAACAGACAAGTTCTGTAATGCATGCCCAACATACTAACGTTCGTCCGCCAACCACTCTAAAAGCTCATGTTCTAAATAGTCAAAAATTGCAACAACAACAACAACAGCAGCAACAAACAAGTCACCAACAATATATGCAACAACAACAGCAACATCAAACACATCAAATTTTACAACAGCAACCAACAACAACCCAGTCGTCTGTTGGTGGAGCTCATGTTATACAAAATACCATTGTGCAAAGACCATCACTTGCAACAGCTAATCAGCAACAACAACAACAACAATTGCCACCAGCAAACAAACAGCTATTGGTCAATATACCAACAACAGCGGCCTCTCATACCAATGCTTTAAGTTCTCCACGACATCTTCCCCAACACACACAGCAGCAACCACCTCAGCCATTATCGTCATCACAACAGTCTTTGGTTATTAAGCAGGCTCATGACATGCATACACCACAAGTTCTACATGTGGTCAGTTCAAAAACGTCAGCGCCTACAACACAAACTAACAAACCTCTACAATCAGCATCCACGCTACATCAACACCAACCGCCCAATGCATCACCTCACCCATCCTATAACACTTACATACAAACACCAACTGCAGGAATTCATTCCAAACAACAACAACAGCTGCCTCAAAAACCAGTTGTTATACACCAACAAACCATTGGAGTACCGCAGAAAAGTTCGACAACACCTTTGGTTATGCCACCGGGAATTTTGGGTTTACCTTCCCATTCCGCAATGGTTATACAAACGAAAGCATCTGCTCCAGCCCAATCACCATCATCTTCAGCTTCTCCAGCAACTCCAGCAGCAGCTCATTTGCAACATGCAAATCAACATACACCTTCACCACCCTTACAGCCACCGCCGCCACAACATTTGGTTAAATCATCGAATAATCCCATGATTCATAGTTTACAAGCACAAGGGGTGTCACATGTCTTAAATGCTGTGGCCTCACCTTCACCTCCTTCAGCCGTTAAGCCAAATGCCCAACAATCTCAGTCGATAGCAACCAATGTGGGAGGTATGTTAAGCGGGGAAACCCTATTCAAATTATATGAGCATTTTATAATCTAATATTTACTTTTGAATTCTCTTCCCACAGCTTCTAGTTTGCGCACGGCCATACCAACAATTAGTCCACAAAGTCAAGCCCGTATAGGTTCCATATTGCTACCGGGAGGCATGCAAGTACCGCCACATTTTGAAACTAGTATGGTAAGTCTGAAAATTTGTAATTGAATATATTTTAGTGATAAAAAAATTTTGATATAAATATACATATATATTTGTGGACGCAGCATGATATTGCTACCTATGGTAGTGCTGTAACAGGCAGTGTACGTACTACACAAAGTCCTCCGCCAGCACACCAACAAGCTTCGCCTATAACACCGGTAAATGTTAATGAAAAAAAAAATATAAAAAGAGATTTTAATGCAGAATGTTTTTAGTTTAATTTTATTGATTAGTTTTTTATATTAAATTAAACTTTACTATTATATTTCTTTTTGCTACAGAGTGAAGCCTCATTCCCCGGAGGAATAGGTAGAGTGGGAGTGCCTACGCGTGAACACTTGATGATTTATCAGCAACTGTTGCGCCAACATGATCCTTTAAATCCGGCTGCTTTGCGAGAATACGATGAAAAGCTATTGGGCAGTAGTCCACCTTTAGAATTGAGAAGACCCGGCAGTGTACCAAGAACGGTAGCTGTACCTCATAGTCTACAAAGTCCACAAGATCGGGCAACTGGTAAATTATTATTATTAACTATTTTCACTAAAACACTTAACTTATCAATTGATTGTTAATTTATATTAGATTCTCCTCAAGTGGCGCAAGTTTATGTACACAATACACGCATTCCAGCCCATACGCATTATGATGTTACGGGTCGTGCTGGTGTTGCAACGCAACCCTCGCCCTATTATGATGCTTCAAGACAAATACCACTGGAACCGCCACCGGCTCATAGATCGGCTCCTGTACATAGTGTAGTCGCTCCACCACCACCCACAGTTGTTGTTCCCCATCCTACAGCCGGCAGCAGTAGTCCATTTATGCCTGCTGCTCCACCAGCAACTGCCGTTCAACCAACTCCATCTTCCGTGCCACCTACACATCATACCAAGCTATTGGAACGTGAAAGAGAGCAGCGTGAACGTGAACGTGAACAACAATTGTTGCGTGAAAAAGAACAAATTATGGTTAGAGCTGGTAAGTTGATAATTAACATTAAAATTCATCTATTCATCTATTAAACAATAAATATCTTTATTAATTTCCCTCACAGGAGCTGATGCCCATAATATGCAAGTGGCTACACCACCACCTCATCAACAGCCATCTCATCAATTACCACCCCATGGCCAACAACCACCACCTCCGCCTCAAGCGGATTCTTTGCTGACATTGCTACAACGTTATCCCGTTATGTGGCAGGGCCTATTGGCTTTGAAAACCGATCAGGCGGCTGTTCAAATGCATTTCGTTTTTGGTAATCCTCATGTAGCTCGTGCCTCATTGCCCTGCAATAGTGATGGCAGTACACCTCCGCTACGTATTGCCCAACGTATGCGTTTGGAACAGACCCAATTAGAAGGGGTTGCGAAAAAGATGCAGGTAATTATATAGTACATATAAAACAAAAATCCTTCCAAAGAGATCCAAATTTTCAATAATTCCAATAATTTAGCAAAATATGTTTATAAATAACAAAGATATGAGCAAAAATCCGAGACAACTTCTGAAAATTTCATCAAAAAAAGAAAATTTTTTTCATATTTTTGATAAAATAAGCAACAACAACATTGCTTATTGGAAAAAAACATATGTTTGATTGTGTGTTGGTTTCATTGCTTTGTGTATTTTGTGTTTTGTTTCGTTTCGTTTCGCGTTCTTGTTTGTTTTGTTTTGCTATTGCATCCGTATTCTCCATCAAATCAAGTTTTTTAAGATGTCTTGTTATAAAACTTAAAAAAATGACAATTTTAGCCATATTTGAGATCTTATAACAACGGGAAGACATATTCGTGTATAAAATCTGTTATGTCATCTGAAAGTCTATACTGTAGGCTTTAAAATAAAGGTTTAAACGCGTCTATCTGTCGTAATGTTTACTATTATGTTATAAGGCTTTAAATATGGCCAAAAATTTAGTTTTATTAGTTTTTACGACACGATATCTGAAAAATCTGATGTGATCAAGAAATTCTGATGACAGATTGGTATTTAGCACTGATCAAAGATGCTCAGTACTTTTGAAAATTATACTTCGGTCTCTGGGTTACAACATTAGGTCGAATATTCGATATTGTTTAAGAATTTCAATTTTCAAGCAAAACGTGTAAATTAAAACCTTGTTTATCATTTGTTTACTTTTTTTCCAGTTTGAAAATGAACATTGTATGTTGTTGGCTCTACCCTGTGGACGTGATCATGCCGATGTCCTGCAACAGTCTCGTAATCTACAATCCGGCTTCATAACCTATTTACAACAGAAAATGGCTGCTGGTATTGTTAATATACCCATGCCAGGAAGTGAACAAGCTGCTTATGTTGTGCACATATTTCCATCATGTGATTTTGCCAATGAAAATTTAGAAAAAGCGGCACCAGATCTTAAAAATCGTGTAGCCGACATAGCTCATCTATTAATAGTGATTGCTACGGTCTAAACTTGAATAATAAAATACCAGCTAAGACTTGAAAACATTAACAGAATTGACAACAATAAACCCCCCCCCACTGAAAAAAAAGAACTTTTATTAAAACCGGCTAAGACAAATATTAAAAAAAAAAAAAAAAACGAAAAGAAAATGGTGATGATATAAAGTAAAAAAGAAAAAGAACTTGTATTTTTAAATTAAAAATTCTGAAAAGAAACAAAGCATGATTTCATGCTTAACTTTATAAATAAATTAATAATCATTATAATAATAATAATAATAACAATAAAATAATGGACTAAATGTTAAATAATCTTAAAATAATACAACAACTAAAAACACACATAAAATTGTACTGTAGCAAAATCTTATAATTTTGAAAAGAAATTACAAATTAATTATATATATATATACTATTAATATTATTATAAAATAACACATAGCTAGATAATAAAAACTACACAAAAATGTAAAAATTTCTTTAATAGTAAAAAAAAAACAAAATTAACAAAAAAAAAATTAAAACCTTGTAATATACTTACACCGACACTATAACTACTCTACTCTATACATATTTATATTAAAAAAAAAAAAAAAACAAAAAAACTGAAGCAAAACTTGTGAAATATAAAGTGTTTTTTTTTATTAATAATTTATTAATTTTTTTTTATATATATAAAAAACTTGTATGAAATAATTATAAACTTAGTTTTCTATGTTTTATTTTAAACCTTTTGTTTTTTTTTATATAAGAAAAAATTTAACAAAAAGAAACAATCCTCCAACAGCTGTTATAAGTTGATGTTGAATTTTTTTTCTTTGTGAACTAATAATAATTTTTTTCCTTAGTTTTTAAAACGTTTTTATTTTTAATGTTAATCCAAATTAAAACAAAAAAAAAACCCTTTGCTCTATGAACTTTTTTTTTTTAGTTTTTAATTTTTTATTAGTATACATATGCTTAAACATAAAAATACAACTAAATATTATTTAAATATGTCTATATATGTATATTTTTTTTTATATGTATATTCTCGCTGATGTACGTTTAGTAAAATAATAATAAAAAAAAAAACAAAAACACATAATGAAAACAAAACAAACATAATTAATTTATTATTTTTTTGATCTCAATGAAAAATGAAAAAAATTAAAAAAAAAAAAATAATAATTATAATTATAACTATGTATGTATTTCCTATATAAAAACATAAATAGCAAAAGTAAACAAAACAAGGCAAAAACAAAAAACAATAGTTACAAACATATTTCAAATAAAATCTATAAGAAATTTTATTAACACAAAAACCATAACCCTTTGTGCAGTAAAACATTTAAGGAAACTTTTTTTTTTTGTTTATTTTTATAATAATGGGTGTAATATTTTCAAAAAAAAGATCAAATTTTTACTTTTAAAATAATAAGCAACTGAATATTTGTTTTTAAAAGGGGGTCAATGATTACTTTTAGATTTTTTTTCCTTATTAAGGTTAAACCTTATTTGTGTGAAAGTTTTTAAATGAAACTTGTTTAGGTTTTCAAAGCAGGAATAAGAATATTCCCCCTTATTCTGCATTTCGATTACGTTTACGCTTTCAGTTCCAAGAATACCATTTCGTTTTAATACTTTACGATTGTGTGTATTCTGTGCATTACGATCGTAGCTAGTTATTATGTCTATATAGGAAAATAAGCTGGCGGAAAGAACTCCTTATGCTTTATCTTTATTCTTTAACTAAAATACACTTATAATAACTAAAAACGAGTTATCTGCATAATAAAATCCTAACTTTAGTTATTGCCAAATTGTAATAATGGACTTAAGTTAACATATTGGATTCTTGGGTAAGTTTAAAGGTAACATTTCCAGTTTTTATCATAAAATTTATATTATGTTCGATTTTGTTTTATCAAAAATAACACTAGCCAACATATTTTTAAACCACAAAACAAAGCATACTTTTCTAAAGAGTTGAATTTCTTTAACACATGAGGTTTTAGAGATATTGTGTCATAAAAATTGATATATTAACGTTTTTGATTATATTTGAGTCGTTATAACAGTGGGAAGATAGTTAAACTTGTTTATATGCATATGTATGCTTCTTCGAGATATGCATATGCATGCTTCTTCAATATATGCATATGCATGCTTCTTCGAGTTATGCATATGTATGCTTCTTCGAGATATGTATATGCATGCTTGTTCGAGATATCTTAAGCTAAAGCTTGACACAACCATAAATGATGATCCATTATATGACAAACTTCTCTGTCATAATTTGTTATAGTTTTTCGCGTAAAATTACGTTTGAATTGTTCAAAAATCTCTTGTACTTGCGAAAATATCGTTCGATGAAGGCAATATCAATTTTTTTTGGAGATTTATAGCTGTATCATGCTTTTAGGTAAGATATCTTAAAGAATTATAAAGCTGTGACAGAGATAAAAACCTTTACAATATTGCACTTTCCCGGATGATGTCTTCCTGCTTGTATATAGTCTCCTACATGGCCAAAAACGGGATTTTTCAGTTTTTACTGCATGATATCTCAGAAACCGGATGTAATGTAGTAACTCTAAGACCAGATTTGGATTTAGCTATGTCAATCCTTTAGAAATGTATATTTCAGTGTCTGAGTTTTGACTTTTTTAAACAAAAACTTAGAATTTTTTTAAAATTTCTTAAAATTTTTGAGATTATTTTTTCAACTTGTAATTTTGAAATTGAAAAATGCAATAATTTTGAGCCACAATTAAACATTTTTGAATACAAATTAAAATTTTGCTTATATATGATCAAGATTCCCGTTTTTTTTTCAAATTGAAAGAAAATGTTTTTTTCGATTTGAAAGAAAATGTTTTCAAAACACAATATATTGAACATATAAATTTGAAAAATTTGTATAAGTTTTTTAAATGAATTTCTAACAACTTGTGCAATTGCTCCATTTCTAAACTGTTCGGTTTCGAATTTGTAAAAATTACATATTGAATTTCCGAAAAAAATTTGATTTTTAATAAAATTCAGGTTTTCTTAAAACAATTATAACGAATTGAAAATCTTTAAACAAAACTGAACGATTTTATAAAATACCATTTTTATAAACTAAAAAAAATATAGAATTTTATAAGAAAAACAAATTAGTTCGAAGTTTAAGTTTCTTTAAATGTTTTATTTGTTGCAAATCGCTAATTTTCTCAAGTGTTTAAATGTTTTTCTTTAAAGTTTAATTTAATTTGAAAAATCCCTAATGTGTATTTCCAATTTATTTAAAATAATTACAAAATATTATAAACTGACAGCCTTAGAAGCTTTTAATATATAAGTTTTGCTTTAAACTGGAAATATATCTATTTTATGTTTATTATAATTATTTTTATAAAAAAAAAAGAAAACTAAAGATTCTTTTTTGTTCTAACTAAACAAAACACTGCCAACAGCACAGAGAAAAAAAAAATAAAATTGGCTTAAGTTTAAATAAAAACATTAAAAAGCTAAATTCTATAGAATTTCTTAAAAATTTCAAATTTTTAAGTGAATTTTTTTTTCTTAATTTTTCTTTAATATAAAATATTTCTTTTTTGTTTATATATAAAGTACTTGCTATTTATTTTTTTATTTATGTCAAAAAAAAAACAAAATTAAATTTCAAATACTTTGTTTTTATTAAAAAAAAAATTAAACTTTAATAAAACATTTAACACACACAACAACCTTTAACTTTATATATTCTTTAAATACAAATTTAATTCAATAAAATTGTTATAAAAACCCACAACAAAATTTTTTAAACATAAAAAATAAAAAAAAAAACTTGTAATATATTAAATAATTAAATATAAAAAATAAAACTCTATACACTTAAAGTTATATATAAAATAAACAACAACAAAAAATAAACAAAAAATTGTATATAAACTTTATAACTATTTAAAACTCCTCTAATATTATTCCCTCTTTTAAGTTAAAGAAATATTTTAATTTAATATTTTTTTTTTTTTAAAAAAAAACTTCAACAAAAAAGTAGTAAACTAAAAAATAACATTTGTACAGCTTTTTTTAATTTAAAAACAAAACTATTAAACTACTATAATTATAATTATAAATATAAATATAAGTTGTATGTTGTAATTCTAAAATTCTAATTATAAACTAAACTAAATGTAAAATACAAATTAAAACTTATAAATATTATATAAACATCGTTAAATATATTGCTATAAACTATACAATAAAAACAACAAAAATTAATAATTAATAAAAAAGAAAAATTAAAAAAAAACAACCAACAAACTAGCAAGTTAATATTATTAATAATTATTAATTATATTATATATATATATTTAAAAAATAACAACTTTAATCATAATAAAGAAAAAAAAATTAATAATTTAAAACAAAAACAAAAGAAAAACTATATAAAAAAAAGAACCTTTACAAGTTAAGCATTATTAATTATTATAATTTTAATTTTTAAGTTGTATTATTAAACAAAATGAAAACAAATTAAACAAACAAACAAAAAAAAAAAGAGAAAATATTAAAAGAAATATAAAAAGTAAAAGGAATTTTATTTAATTTTTATTTTGAAATAAAAAGAAAGAATTCAATAAAAAAAATACATTTTCTGTTATCTTTTTTTCATATAAAAATAAACTAAATGATGAGTTTTTATTAAAGTAATTCTTTTCGAAGAAAAATATATGTGCCTTAGGTTTGGAACAATGTGATTCCCCTAAAAAGAAAACCTAAAATATCAAGTCATTGTAGAATATTGTGGTCCAAAGTGACACTAGTTCCTGAAGAGCTTTAGATTGGTATCAAATCTCGTAGTTTTATACCCTGTGATACTTCCCAGTTCGTTTCGGAACCGTTTTCCTAGCCACTTTTGTCAGTCGCTGCATTCTAGGACAATTTGCTCAATTGATTCTAGACTATAAACTAGACTTTAGTCTATTTTTTCTTTTTTTATAGGCTGGCCTATAATGTATGTAATTGAGTCTATACATCAGACTATAGTTTAGTCTATAGTCCAGTCTATAGTCTAGTCTATAGGATAGTCAATAGTGTAGTCTATAGTGTAGTCTATAGTCTAGTCTGTAGTCTAGTCTATAGTCTAATCTATGAACTAGTATATAGTCTAGTCTATAGCCTAGTCTATGGTCTAAACTATAGTCTAGTCTACAGTCTAATCAAGTCTATAGTCTAATCTATAGTCTAGTCTATAGTCTTGTCTACAGTCTAGTCTATAGTCTAGACTATAGTCTAATCTATAGTCTAGTCTGTAGTGTAGTCCATTGTCTAAAATATAGCCTAGTCAACAGTCTAAAGAAGTCTATAATGTAGTCTATTTGGGCCTTAATCTGTAATCTACTCTATAGTCTAGTTTAAAGTCTTGTCTATAGTTTAGACTATAGTCTAGTCTATAATCTTGTCTAGTCTATAGTATAATCTAAAATCCATTCTGCAGTATAGTCAATAGTCCAATCTGTAGTGCAGTATATAGTCTAGTCAAGTTTATATTGTTGTTGCAACAGTTGGTTTGTAGCCATAGTTCTTTTCTGGAGAAAAAACTTTCGGTTGATACGGCTGCCGCTGAGTTCACAATCTTTGGCCGAGTAAGACTAGTCTAGTTCTAGTTCTATAGTATAGTCTATAGTTTAGTCTAGCTAGTTTTTTTCCTGGTCTATAGCACTGCGTAATCATATATTAATACATCTTGACCTATAATTTATTCTGTAGTCTGTTCTATAGACTTACCAATATTCTAGTTTAGAGTCTATGCAATAGGGTTACAATTTTATATTAGAGTTTTAAAACACCTGATATTTCTTTCTAAAACAAGCTCTTGGTTAATTTTTTTTAAATACACATTTTATTAGCATTATTACAATGATTTTATTTTAATGAATTAATTCTCTAGGTGGTGGATTAAATGGTATTTTTCCCGGTAGAAAACAATCAGCTTTAAAAGCTTCTATTTCGTCGGGAGTTAGATCTTCTAAGCGACTGTATAAAGTTGAACTGACATTGTTTGGTGTCTGTAGTGCAGCTTGTTGAAAGAGGCCAGAGGAGGGATGAGACGGCGCAACTTGTTGCTGTTGCTGTGGTGCCGTATTTTGTTGAGATTGTTGAAATATATTTGGGTTTGCTTGATTTTGTTGAAAGATATTTGTGTTAGTCGGCTGTTGTTGCTGCTGCTGCTGCTGTTGCATGGCTTGTCCAAATATATTTTGTGTTTGTTGGGCAGCTTGTGCAAATAGACCTTGTCCTGGTGCTGCAACCTGACCCATAGTTTGTTGTGCTGCCTGGGCAAATAAACCTTGTTGTTGTGGGGGTTGTTGAGGTGGCATGGTTTGAGCTGCTTGTGCAAAAAGACCTTGAGGTGGCTGTGCTGCCTGTCTAAAAATATTGGCATTTGGTTGATTTTGTTGTGGTGCAAATTGATTTTGCTGTCCAAATATTCCAGTTGAGGTCTGTTGCTGCTGCTGGCCTGTGTTAGCGAATATATTTGTCTGAGCCTGTTGTTGTCCAAATATTGAAGGTTTTTGCTGCGCATTTGTGTTAGTGCCACCTCCAAATATAGAATTGGCAGGTTTAGAAGCTTGACCAAATATTGAGTTCTGCTGCTGCGCTTGTTGTTGCTGTGTTGGAAAACCGGAAGTTTGACCAAATAAATTGTTTGTGGACTGATTAGAGGCTGCGAATCCCCCATTATTGCCAAATAAGTTATTGCTGGTATTTGTATTAGATTTAGCAAATATAGAACCAGCGTTTGTGCTAGCAGCATTTGTCATGCCAAATGGATTGTTCGTATTGTTATTACTTGTCTTTGCCGCTGTAGCACCACTGCAACTCGTATCCGATGCCATATCGTATACACTAATAGCAACATCTATAATTTCTGGTGTCATTTGCAGCAGAGCCTTCATTTTATTACTGGCCTCTAAAGCCTCCTTGTTGAATTGTTGATGAAATTGATCAAAGAAATTCTTTTGTTTAGCCTCGTAACACAACATCCGTACTTCTTCAAATGATTGATCCTCTATGAAATTGGGTATGGATGGTTTGTCCTTGAAAGGCCCGTAAGTGGATAAGGGCCATTGTTTGCCATTAATCGCAGCTTCTACATCGGTTTTAATAACCTGTTTAACATCAAAGTGTTCATTGACACACTTGGAGCCGAAGCGACAGTTACCTTGTTGGAAAAATTTACACAAAACCATTTTATTTCAGTTTATTTTCAATTGAAAATTAAATTTTGTACAATGAAATAATAAAAAACACCACTCTACTATGAAAAATAAAAACAAATGCTTCTTGTTATTCGATAACATTAGCAATTCACTTGGTGTTGATATCAAAGCAAAAAACAGTGAAAGAAAACAATGAGAAGAAGGAGGCCGCCTAGCCACACATCAAATTTGTTGACTCAAACGGTAAGTTTTTTGATTGTGTTAGTGAAAAAACTCACATGTATATATGCGGTGTGAGTTTTTTTACTAACCCAATCAAAAAACTTACCGTTTGAGTTAAACTATTTGATGCAAAGTATATTAATAAAGTAGCGACATCTCTTGTTGTACAACAACATCTACAACAACCACATATATTTTGTTTTTGGAATAATTTAAGATTGTGTCAAAATAAAATTTCCTTGAACAACAATGTGAACAAAACATAAATAAAAAATATTACTTTTAAGTTAAAAATATTAACAATTTAATTATATTATTATATATTATACAATTTATTACACTTTTAAACTACTTTAAAACCACTTTTAATTCACTTTTTCAACTTTTCACAAATTTTAACAAATAGCAAAACACAATTTAAAAATGGCGACGTAAACAATGTTAACAATTTTCAAAACAAACTTTGACAACTTGCTTCATTTATCTAGTTTAAAAAAAATAGTCAGCTGTTCAAGTGATGCTACTTTATTAATATACTTTGATTTGATGTGTCGCCAAGGCGTTTTAGAACATGTAATTATAAACAATGCAAAAATCAATTTGTTCTAACAGTTCTAAAAGTTGAAAATTTACCGTTTGAATATGCGTTACATAAAATATAACGAGCTTCATTATAAAGTATTTATAAATAGTTTATTAATATACATACGAAATAAATATATACATACATACCCTCTTTTTCATAAACATTTTATTTTAAAAAAGGTTTATAAAACAAAATTTCCATACGAAATTTGATTTATAAATCGTTTATAAAATAAAATTTTGTTTATGAATAAGGTCTTTATTGTACATAGATTTTTAAAGCTATGCAATAATAACAACAATGTATCCATAAAAATAAAATGCATTTCATGCTCTTTATCTAATATGTAGATATTATACACTTTTATTAAGTGTAAATTACAATATAAAGTATATGAATTAATAATCAAACTCCAAAAATTGTATATTAAAGTGACAAAATAGTAATTCCTCTACATTCACTTCCTTAAGATCAACTTTTCTATCTGCATAGAGTCTGCCAGCAGCCCCAAGCATTTGCTCACTTGCCACAATAGTAGGTGGAACAGAAAGATATTTTTCAGCAACTTTTTTTAATTTCTCATAACGACTTGTATTCCAATACTTATAAATATCTGAATTTCTTAACGATAAAGGTTCCTGTAAATATAATGATAATTCATTTAACGAAACATCAGTTTCGATAGTGACATCATGTTTTTCCCAAAGTGTATTATTTGACTTGCGTTGATCGCTTTTGTTGCAAGTTTTCGAGTAGTTGGCGGTATCCATCTGCAAGAAGTTCGATATTTCCTTTTCAGCAATTGACATTTGGGTTTCGCTTAAATATTTGTTTTTAAAACGAGGGTCCAACAATGTGGACATTATTAAAAGGGGGCTAGTTTCGATAAATTTAAATTTTTCATTTAAAGCTGCTTTTAAATAATTTTGTAATTGATCTGCATCATCAGTTCCATTAAGTGTTGATTGCAACATTTCAATTAAGGGTATTATCAGGGAAATCGTTGCTGTATCTGCAGATATGTCGGTTGTTGCCTCATAAATACTTTCCAAAGCATCTACAATATTTTTTAATTGATCCCATTCTTCTGTTGTTAAATTTTCTATATCGCTCTTTTCTTCCGAATACAGTGATACAGCCATTTTTTGTTCCATAAATCTCTTTATCATCAAATAACTGCTACTCCAATTTGTTTCTACATCTTGAATAAGACATTGTTTTTCGAGTAAATACTTTTCCTGCATATTCTCAAAATATTCACTCGCCTGCTGAGATATTTCAAAATGTTTGGCAATGTTACGACATTTTGCTAGAATTTCCTGTACTTGTTTCTTATTAAAAATGACGTCATGTACTACCAACTGCATGTTATGAGCTACACATTCAAATGCTTTTATCTTTGCTGTTTCCATTTTATGGACATTATCACAAACAGTTATATGCAGCTTTTCTTCTAACTTGAAACTTTTTATAATTTCCGGCAACTCTTCTATTATATAGGGATCTAAAAAAAATAAACCATTATAATTAGGAAATTAAAAAAAGCTATGCACAATGTGTTAGTAAGAAAAGGAAAATAAATCAGTAATTTCTGTCCGATTTCAATGAAATTATTCATGCTTTAAGAATTAATTAGAAATAAATTGGGAATAACACTCTACCACAATTTAAAGATCTATTTCGCCTTTTCTATCACACTGTGCTATGTTTGAATCATAAATGTACTATATAAATACCTATTTGTTCATTTTCCATAACCTTGGCAGCCAAGACCAACTTTTTTCTTAAGAACCCAAGTAGAAAATGTGCTGTAAAGGTTACAAGCTCATTTGAATTATGAGGAGACCTCCATTTGTCAATAGTTAAGCTTATCCATTTTGTTGTTGTTATCATTGTCATCACCTTCTCTTTGACTTTGTTATATGTATCCGGCATAAATGTGTCGGAGAAAAATTCTTCAGATTTCTGTTTATAACGACTTTCTATAGTAGGATCAGCAAATTTTAAACGTTGAAATGCGGCGCTATCTACTATGCTGCATGGTAGCATATGCACCAGTATTAAGTCCATTATAGATTTATCGATTTGTTTTGCTATATAATGATCATCTGTCCATCGAAATATAAACTGATTGGTGTTATTATACGGTCTACCAAAAGGGCTAAAACCTAGCGGTTGCGTTTGAATAGTATTAGAAGTCGCGCTACCTAAACTTGCTATTCCAGAAGGATTATTTGTATTATTAAAAGTCGATAGACCAGAATTAGATTGGACTCCAAAAACATTTTCTTTTCCATAAAGGTTCTGGGAACTGCCACCACCTAAAGTTTCCTTTTCTAAAAGGTTATTAAAATTAATGGATGGAAGAGGTTTAGAATTGGCGCTTGCAGAATTTGCTATTACAAAAGCATTATTTGTATTATTAAGCTGAGATTCCATTGACGATGGATCATGTTTATAACTGGCGATTGCAGAATTTGCTATTCCAAAAGAATTATTTATATATTTAAATGGTGGTTCCAATGTCAATGAAGCAGTCGCACTAGTAGTATTGGTTATTCCAAAAGGATTATTTGTATTATTAGGTTTGGAATTGGTGGTGGGACAATGTGCGAATGAAATATCAGTACGAATATTCGTTGCCGGCTTAATAGATGGACGGTAATAATTACTAACAAATTTTGGCAAACCAAAGACATCGTTGCTATTAGTAGTTGCACTAGTAAACTGTTCCACTCCAAAGGGATTATTAAAACTAGTATTTGGAATTGTTACACCACTGCTGCACTTTACCAGCGAAGTGTTTTTCTCTTCTGCACCCACAGTTGTGTCATATAAAATAATTGCCACATTTACAATATCCACAGTTACTTTCATTTTATTTCTGGCCTCCTGGACATCTTTGTTGTATTCCTCATAATTTTTACCAAAGAAATTTTTTAATTTAGTTTCGTAAAACGACATTCGTACCTCTTCAAATGATTTATCTTCTATAAAGTTCGGTAGCGATGGTTTATTAAAGAAAGGCCCATACGAGGACAAGGGCCATTGTTTGCCATTAACTGCCTCATTTATATCCCTTTCAATTATGTCCTTAACATTAACATGTTCATTGGGGCATCTGAAAACATTGTTGCAACATCCTCCTTGGTATGACTTACATAGAACCATTTTTATTTACTTTCCTTGATGAAAAATTGTTTAAAACTGCTAATTTCACAATAAAATATTTTATTTATGGTGAAATATGAATGAATGCATCATGTATCTATTATAACTGCTATAGTATTAGTTGTTTATTCAGGGTGATCCACCGATTAGTGGTATTCGGCTGAAACTTATCTTTACAATATGTAAGTAAAATTAAAAAAAAAAACTAAATTTAACTAACTAAGGGCGGGTTTCTTACTGCTCAGTTAAACTAGGCTTAACTTGCTGTTAGATTAAACTCGGAACAAATTTAGGCGGACTTTAACCGATGATTGTGTTTTTCAGTTATGGATTTAAGTTCAGTTAACTTTGTTAGTATTGCCAACTTTTCACTCAAAAACATAAACATGTAAAATGAACAATTTTGGAAAAATGTTAAATAAACATTTAAAACAATAATAAATAAAACAAAACAAATTGGAAAATTGCAATTTACTTAAAATATTAAGTTTTTGTTCTTCCGAAATCATTGTTTATTGTTTTTATTAATTGTGTCTTCTCACTTATAACTTAAGTTTAATTGGCCAATAACACTCAGTTAAACTAAGATAATAAGTAACGTTACTGTTTACTGAAAAACACAAAACATATATTAAACTAGGTTTAAACAAAGAATGTAGATTATCTTTATCTGAAAAACCGGCCCTAACTAACTAACTAACTACCTACTACTAACTAACTAACTAACTAACTAACTAACTACTAACTAACTAACTACTACTAACTAACTAACTAACTAACTAACTAACTAACCTAACTAACTAACTAACTAACTAACTAACTACTAACTAACTAACTAACTAACTAACTAACTAACTACTACTAACTAACTAACTAACTAACTAACTACTACTAACTAACTAACTAACTACCTAACTAACTAACTAACTAACTAACTAACTAACTAACTACTAACTAACTACTAACTAACTAACTAACTAATACTAACTAACTAACTAACTAACTAACTACTCTAACTAACTAACTAACTAACTAACTAACTAACTAACTAACTAACTAACTAACTAACTAACTAACTAACTAACTAACTAACTACTAACTAACTAACTAACTAACTAACTAACTAACTAACTAACTAACTAACTAACTAACTAACTAACTAACTAACTAACTAACTAACTAACTAACTAACTAACTAACTAACTAACTAACTAACTAACTAACTAACTAACTAACTACTAACTAACTAACTAACTAACTAACTAACTAACTAACTAACTAACTAACTAACTAACTAACTAACTAACTAACTAACTAACTAACTAACTAACTAACTAACTAACTAACTAACTACTAACTAACTAACTAACTAACTAACTAACTAACTAACTAACTAACTAACTAACTAACTAACTAACTAACTAACTAACTAACTAACTAACTAACTAACTAACTAACTAACTAACTAACTAACTAACTAACTAACTAACTAACTAACTAACTAACTAACTAACTAACTAACTAACTAACTAACTAACTAACTAACTAACTAACTAACTAACTAACTAACTAACTAACTAACTAACTAACTAACTAACTAACTAACTAACTAACTAACTAACTAACTAACTAACCTAACTAACTAACTAACTAACTAACTAACTAACTAACTACTAACTACTAACTAACTAACTACTAACTAACTAACTAACTAACTAACTAACTAACTAACTAACTAACTAACTAACTAACTAACTAACTAACTAACTAACTAACTAACTAACTAAACTAACTAACTAACTAACTAACTAACTAACTAACTAACTAACTAACTAACTAACTAACTAACTAACTAACTAACTAACTAACTAACTAACTAACTAACTAACTAACTAACTAACTAACGAACTAACTACTAACTAACTAACTAACTAACTACTAACTAACTACCTAACTAACTAACTAACTAACTAACTAACTAACTAACTAACTAACTACTAACTAACTAACTAACTAACTAACTAACTAACTAACTAACTAACTAACTACTAACTAACTAACTAAACTAACTACACTAACTAACTAACTATACTAACTAACTAACTACTAACTAACTAACTAACTAACTAACTAACTAACTAACTAACTAACTACTAACTAACTAACTAACTACTAACTAACTAACTAACTAACGAACTAACTAACTAACTAACTAACTAACTAACTAACTAACTACTAACTAACTACTAACTAACTAACTAACTACTAACTAACTAACTACTAACTAACTAACTAACTAACTAACTACTAACTAACTAACTAACTAACTAACTAACTAACTAACTAACTAACTACTAACTAACTAACTAACTAACTACTAACTAACTAACTAACTACTAACTAACTAACTAACTAACTAACTAACTAACTAACTAACTAACTACTAACTAACTAACTAACTAACTAACTAACTAACTAACTAACTAACTAACTAACGAACTAACTAACTAACTACTAACTAACTAACTACTAACTAACTAACTAACTAACTAACTAACTAACTAACTAACTACTAACTACTAACTAACTAACTAACTAACTACTAACTAACTAACTAACTAACTAACTAACTACTAACTAACTAACTAACTACTAACTAACTAACTAACTACTAACTAACTAACTAACTAACTAACTAACTAACTAACTAACTAACTAACTAACTACTACTAACTAACTAACTAACTAACTAACTAACTAACTAACTAAACTAACTAACTACTAACTACTAACTAACTAACTAACTAACTACTAACTAACTAACTAACTAACTAACTAACTAACTTACTTACTAACTAACTAACTAACTAACTACTAACTAACTAACTAACTAACTAACTAACTAACTAACTAAACTAACTATTAACTACTAACTAACTAACTAACTAACTAACTAACTAACTAACTAACTAACTATCTAACTGACTAACTAACTAACTAACTAACTAACTAACTAACTAACTAACTAACTAACTAACTAACTAAGTAACTAAGTAACTAACTAACTAACTAACTAACTAACTACTAACTAACTAACTAACTAACTAACTAACTAACTAACTAACTAACTAACTAACTAACTAACTAACTAACTAACTAACTAACTAACTAACTAACTAACTAACTAAACTAACTAACTAAAACTAACTACTAACAACTAACTAACTAACTAACTAACTAACAAACTAACTAACTAACTAACTAATAACTAACTAACTAACTAACTAACTAACTAACTAACTAACTAACTAACTAACTAACTAACTAACTAACTAACTAACTAACTAACTATCTAACTGACTAACTAACTGACTAACTAACTAACTAACTAACTAACTAACTAACTAACTAACTAACTAACTAACTAACTAACTATCTAACTGACTAACTAACTGACTAACTAAAACTAACTAACTAACTAACTATCTAACTAACTAACTAACTAACCAACTAACTAACTAGCTAGCTAACTAACTTCATAATACATTTTTAAATAAAAATAAAATTTGTTTTCAAAAATACTTTTTCATTAAGTTTATTTTTTCTTTAAAAATAATATTTGCATACAAAATTGGTTTTGGAAATTAAATTCGGTTGGATTTTTTCAAGATATTCACGCGACATTGATAGCTAATGGTCGTACACTGCAAAAAATTAAACAATTTTGAGGTAATTTTGGATTTGTTCCAAATTCAACATAAATCCTATATGTACTCATAACTGATGTGGGATATCTTACTTACTTGTTTTAATTAAGTATTCCTGTACATATATTAAAAATACTATGTCTCAGATTTATAAATAAATATATTTGCAATTTTATGGATAAACATAAAAATATAGTTCATGAAGTGAATTAAAGTAAATAAAATCGCCTGTCGGTAACAATATATTTCCTGTGTCAAATTAATTAGGGAACAATTTACATCTTAGGAACAGTTACTCTGTTAAAAACAAGTTTTAGTTGATCCGATACGTAAAATAAAATAAAAATTGATTTTAAAGTATTTATAAGTAGTTTATTAATATAGGTATATATGTTATATAAAGGTATAGATTTTCAAAATTTTGTCATTGATAATAAAACGCATTACATGGTATTTGTCACATAGAATTTATACACTCGTATTAAGTGTAAATTATATAATATAAAGTATGTATGTATATGAATTAATAATCGAACTCCAAAAGTGGTATATTAAAGTGAAAATATAATAATTCCTCAATATCCACTTCTTTAAGATAAGCTTTTCTCTCTGTGTAGAGTCTGCCAGCAGCCTCAAGCATTTGCTCACTAGCCTTAATAGTAGGTGGAACAGAAATATATTTTTCAGCTAATTTTTTCAATTTCACATAACGACTTGTATTCCAATATACAAAAATATTTGATTTTCTGAGCGATAAAGGCTCATGTATATATAATGATAATTCATTTCGAAACGAAATGTCAGTTTCAATAGTGACATCATGTTTTTCCCAAAGTGTATCATTTGACTCGTGTTTATCTCCTTTGTTGCAAGTTTGCGAGGAGTTTGCGGTGTCCATTTGCAAAAAATTAGATATTTCCTTTTCAGCAATGGTCATTTGGGTTATGCTTAAATATTTGTTTTTAAAACGAGGATCCAACAATGTGGACATTATTAAAAGGGGACTTGTTTCGATAAATTTAAATCTTTCATTTAAAGCATGTTTTAAATCATTTTGCAATTGATCTGCGTTATCAGCTTCATTAAGTTTTGACTCCAATATTTTAATTAATGGTATTATTAGGGAGATCGTTGCTGTATCTGCAGATAGATCAGTTGTTGCCTCATAAATACTTTTCAAAGCCTCTACAATATTTTTTAAATAGTCCCATTCTTCTGTGGTTAAATTTTCTATGTCGCCCTTTTCTTTCGAATAAAGCGATATAGCCATTTTTTGTTCCATAAATCTCTTCATCATCAAATAAGTGATACACCAATTTGTTTCCACATCTTGAATAAGACACTCTTTTTCGAGTAAACATTTTTCCTGCAAGGTTTGAAAATATTCACTGGCCTGCTGTGTTTTTTCGAAGTGTTTAGCAATTTTACGACACTTTGTAAGAATTTCCTCTACATGTTCCTTATTAAAAATGGCATCATATACCGCTAACTGCATGGTATGAGCTACACATTCAAATTCTGTTATCTTTGTGATTTCTATATTATGTAATTTATCGCAAACAGTTAGGTGCAGTTTTTCTTCTAATTTGAAATTTTGTATAATTTCCGGCAATTTTTCTGTTATATAAGAATCTAAATAAACAAATATACATACATACATATAGTTGAAAACACGTTAGAGTGCTGTATTCGACTGTGCCGAATCTTATATACCCTTCACCATAGTATATTTTTATTCGTTATTTAACTTTTTTCTTAAAATTTTCTTTTTTAACATTTACAAAAAAAAAAATCAAAATTCTGTAAATAAAAAGGTATGACTTAGGGTTCTATAGTTGAAACGAAAAGTCGACTTTTCGACTTTTTGCATTTAGTTAAAAGTCGACTTTTCGACCTTTCGACTTTTTCCATTTTATGAAAAGTCGATTTTTCGACCTTTTTCATTTACTTAAAAGTCGACTTTTAGACTTTTCGACTTTTAGTATTTTATATATGGTCGACTTTTCGACTTTTCGATTTTTACCGACTTTTCGACTTTTTCCGACTTTTTTCGACTTTTTTCGACTTTTCGACTTTTTCCGACTTTTTTCGACTTTTTCCGACTTTTTTCGACTTTTCGACTTTTTTCGACTTTTTCCGACTTTTTTCAACTTTTCGACTTTTTCCGACTTTTCGATTTTTTACGACTTATTTCGACTTTTTTTCGACTTTTTTCGACTATTTTTTTACTTTTTTCGAGTTTTTCCGACTATATTAGAGTTTTTGACCTCTTTTCCACTTTTTTAAAATTTTCGACTATTTTCGACTTTTCGACTTTTTCCGACTTTTCGACTTTTTTCGACTTTTCGACTTTTTTCGACTTTCTTCGACTTTTTTCGACTTATCGACTTTTTTCGACTTTTCGACTTTTTTCGACTTTCCGACTTTTATTTACAAAGTCGACTTTTCGACTTTTTTCATAGACGATAGTCGAGTTATCGACTTTTTTGGAACAAAATAGTCGACTTCGACTTTTCGACTTTTTTCGACAAAAAGTCGATTGTTCGATTATTCGAAAGTCGATTTATAGAACCCTAGTATGACTCATGGCGAAACTAATAAGGTGAAGTCATTTCAACAGCTGATTGTTTTTTTGTCCATGGAAATTTAGCCCGAAGTTGTCAAACTCAATATAAAAAAAATTCTCTCTCAAACCCGACGCTGTCAAACTACATGTATAAAAAATTTCATGAATTCGCCGCAAAATGAAATGACTTCACCTTATAGTCTATTCGCCTTGGTATGACTATAATCTACTAAATCGCACATTCTTGACTATTGAACACTATTGGTGTAGGGTATATATAAATATGAAAACAAAATAAATACCTTTTTGATCATTTTCCAAAACCTTAGCAGCTAACACCAACTTTTTTCTTAGGGAACCATGAAGAAAATGTGCTGTAAATGTTAACAGCAACAATTTTGAATTATTAGCAAAACTCCAATTGTCTATAGTTAAACTTATCCACGTTGGTGTTGCCATCATTGTTAATATCTTTCCCCTGACATTGTTATAGGTTTCCGGTCTAAGTGTTGTGGAGAAAAACAGCTCAGATTTATGCTTATAACGACTTTTTGTAGTGGGATCAGCAAATTTTAATCGTTGAAATGCCATCCCATTGACTATGCTGCATGGCAGCATATCAACCAGTATCAAATCCATTAGAGATTTATCAATTTGTTTTGCTTTATTGTCATCATCTGGCCAGAAACCCTGTTCGGTGTAGCAAGATGGTGTAAAACACACGTTTGTAGAATTCGGGAGTGCTATTGACGCACTTTGATTAGTTTCATTATTGTTTAAACTATTTGTCAAGACACCAAATTTGAAGCCAGTTATATTTTTGTTTCCTAACAGATTTTTGGTATTAAAAATTCCTGGACTTTGATTATTTGTGTTATGCGATTTAGGTTTGGCGCCAATAACATTTTCTATTCCAAACGGATTTTTCGAATTGCTACTATCTAAAGTTTCCTTTCCCCAAATGCTATTAAAATTATTCGTTGGTATAGGTTTAAAACTACGGCTAACTGAATTTTCTATATCAGGAGTAATACTTTTTTTGTTTCCAATTGAAACAGATTTGTCCGAATTGGCACTAGTTAAAGTTTCCTTTCCCAAAAAACTAATATTATTCGATGGAACCGGATTAAAAGTAGCACCAACAGAAGCATTCTCTGTATTATTTCCAAATACACTATTAGTCTTTGAGGAAATAGGTTTAAAATGTTCTTTGCCAAATGGTTTGTCCAAATTATTGGATGGATCAGGTTTAAAAGTAACCCCAACAGAATTTGCTATTCCAGAAGTATTTTTTGCATTATTTCCAAATAAACTTTTAGTATTTGATGCAACCGATTTAGGAGTTGTTATTCCAAAAATGTTGTTCGAATTGGCACTAGCTTTATTTTCCTTTACAAAACTATTAGTAGTTGATGAATCAGTTTTAGAATTGACATTTCCCAAAATGCTGTTCGTATTAGCATTAGCAAAAGGTTCAACAGTAGCGCCAAAAGAATTTGCTATTCCCGAAGGAGCCGATTTAGGAGTTTTGATTGCAAAAATGTTGTTCGAAAAATGAAAAACATTTTCCTCTGCGAAACTATTAGTAGTTGATGAATCAGTTTTAGAATTGACATTTTCCAAATTGTTGTTCGAATTGTCATGCGCAAAAGGTTTAAAAGGAACGCCAATAGTATTTGCTGTTCCAGGATTCTCTGCATTTCCAAAAATGTTGTACGGATCAGAAGAATTCTTTGTATTTCCAAAAATATTGTACGGATCAGAATTATTTAAAGTTTCCTTACCAAGAAGTTTGTTGTCATTCAAATTATTCAATGGAATAGGTTTGCAATTGGTTGTAGCTGATTTTACCATTGGAGGAGGGTTGATGTTAATACTGCTTAGTCGTTGCTTTAACAATGGAACAGGTTTCGAAATAGTGCTAGCAGAATTTTCTTTTCTTAAAGTATTATGTTTGTCGACATCCGTCGTTTGCATGGTAGATGTAAAATTTGGTAATCCAAAGGTATTGTTGTTATTATTAGTTGTCGATAAACCAGTATTGTCGTTAGCTAAATGTTTCACTCCAAAGGGATTATTAAAACTAGTATTTGGAACTGTTGCTGCACTGCTGCACTTTATTGGCGAAGTGTTTTTCTCTTTTCTACCCACAGGTATATCATATAGATTAATTGCGACATTAACAACATCCACAGTTGGTTTCATTTTATTTCTGGCCTCCTGGACATCTTTGTTGTATTTATCATGATTTTGACCGAAGAAATTTTTTAATTTCGTTTCGTAAAACGACATTCGTACTTCTTCAAATGATTGATCCTCTATAAAGTTAGGTAGCGATTGTTTATACTCGAATGGTCCATACGCGGATAAAGGCCATATTTTACCATTAACAGCCTCCCTCATATCTTTTTCAATTATATCTTTAACATCTACATGTTCAGATAAGCAATTGGAACCACGATAACAACAACCTCGTTGATATAATTTACATAAAACCATTTTTGTGTGCTTCCCGTTGTAAAGAATTGACAGAACCAAAGTTTTAACCACAGGGTATACAGAGGCGTCACGAGCAAAAAACTATTTCCCTCTCTTTCGCACAAAACGAATTCAATGATTTTTTTTAGCTGTATTTTATATACCTCTTCTCACCAAACAATTTCAAAATCAAACAAAGCTGATTTTAGACTTTTTTAAATGTCAAAAGTGACACCTCTGTATACTTTGTGGTTTTAACACAAAATACGCAATAAAATACATACAATGATGATGATATTATTTATTGTGAAATATAATGAGTGTCCTATCGATTCTAAAGAGGTTCGGCCGAAACTTGACTTTGAAATAATCAGTATTTTAAGTCAAATTTTGAAACAGAAAAAGGGTTTTTACATAAAAATAATTTTTAGCAAACTTTTGCGCAATTTTTCAATTAAAAGTCGAACTCTTATTAAAAAAGCATCAAATAAATTTCATTATTCAGAAATGTTAGTTAGAAAAATAGTTTTATAAATTGAATTCGGTTTTAAAAAAAAGTAATTCGCATGCAATTGATAACCTATGGACATACACTGAAAGAAAAAACTAAAAAAGTTGACGTTTTTTACTTACATTTAATGTTTATATTATGAATATAAAGATTCCAGTACCGCAATTCAGTAACTTTTTAACTACAAAATTTTGTCGTTAAATAGTATAAATTCGTAAGTTAACAATAATTGTCGTTATGTGGTATTCTGAATTATATTTTTTTCGTTAAACATAACGAAAAGTATCGGCAATGTAACGACAAATAAAAAGTTCATGTTAATAATTTTATATTTTAAAAATATTTCAATACAAAACTTTTGACATTCTCATATTTTTCCGATCTTTGTCGTTAAAATATTCTAAGGTCGTTAAAAAGTTACAGAATTGAAAATTCGTTAATGCAACCGATATTTATCGTTACTTTACGATATCGGTAGTTAAAATTAAAAAATTACAGAATTGCGGTACAGAAGATGAAAATTGCCCATTTTGTATAGAAATCACATTTCGATATCGATATTAAGCTAATACGTTAGATATTCCATATCGAATGCCATGGGGCATTTTGAGCAATTTTATTCGATCGCTCAACTCAACTCTTTAATAAAATAATCCATAATAAAAAAAGTTCGAAAAGTCGACAAAACAACATTTCATAAATTTCAAAAGTATGAAAGTCGACTTTTCACAAATATCACAAAAAAAAGTGTATTAATACAGTAGACTCAGAACAACTAGCAAATTATGACAGATAGCAGGATGACAAAATCAACAGGCAAATTTTGACTGCAAGCAAAGTAAATTAATAAAGTAGCATCACTTGAACAGCTGACTATTTTTTTTAAACTAGATAAATGAAGCAAATTGTCAAAGTTTGTTTTGAAAATTGTTAACATTGTTTACGTCGCCATTTTTAAATTGTGTTTTGCTATTTGTTAAAATTTGTGAAAAGTTGAAAAAGTGAATTAAAAGTGGTTTTAAAGTAGTTTAAAAGTGTAATAAATTGTATAATATATAATAATATAATTAAATCGTTAATATCTTTAACTTAAAAGTAATATTTTTTATTTATGTTTTGTTCACATTGTTTTTCAAGGAAATTTTATTTTGACACAATCTTAAATTTTCCAAAAACAAAATACATGTGGTTGTTGTAGATGTTGTTGTACAACAAGAGATGTCGCTACTTTATTAATATACTTTGACTGCAAGTAGAATATAACAAGAACAATCTCTCGCAAGATAAAAAAATAAGCAGCTGCTTTATCGCAGTCATCAAGGGAATTAACGTCCGTCCAGTTAGCAACGAAAGATAGCAACGGCAGAGAAAATTTTGGGAATTAAGTGGCAACACCACAGGGGAAAAATAAATTGCTTAGCTAATAAATTGCTTAGCTAATAAAAAATACCATGGAAAACTCAATGGAAAGAGATGGGAAACACAAAATGGAATCGAGACTATATATAGTCTCGATTCCATTTTGTGTTTCCCATCTCTTTCCATTGAGTTTTCCATGGTATTTTTTATTAGCTAAGCAATTTATTTTTCCCCTGTGGTGTTGCCACTTAATTCCCAAAATTTTCTCTGCCGTTGCTATCTTTCGTTGCTAACTGGACGGACGTAATTGCACAACAGGGGAATATTTTTCACGACAAAAAAGTTAGTAAACGAAAAAGTGAAAAGGGAACATATTTCACGTGAAATGATGATTGAATGGTAAAGTTTTCAAATTATTTCAAAAATTATTAAAAGCGAAATTTTCAAATTCAATTTTTATTTTTCCCCTCATATGTCATGTTTTAGTGATTGTTACAGGTTTATACATTTTTCGAATAAAAGTACGAATATTTTTTGGAACATGTCTTTAATTCTGGAAATACTTTGAAATAAATGAAAATTTTGAATTTTTTTTAAAAAAATTTTGTTAGAAATGCGAACATTGGACTCAAATAAAACTAAAATATTATTTTAAAGCATTTTCAAACATATAAAAGTTTGAATTTTCAAATTTTATTATAAATTTTCTAAAAAGTTTAAAATTTGTTTAAATTTATGAAATCATTTTAAAATTTTTTAAAAATTTCGAAAATAAATTTCAAAGTTTGAAATTTAAAAAGGGAAGGGATTTACAAATTAACCCCTTGGTTGGTTTCTTCGAAATAAGAAAAATTTACTATTTTAAGTAAATGGCCCCTAATCTGCATTTCAATTTGAATTGAAATTTTCTCCGTTTTTAGGGCGGGTTTCTTACTACTCAGTTAAACTAGGCTTAACTTGCTGTTAGATTAAACTCCGAACAAATTTAGGCGGACTTTAATCGATGATTGTGTTTTTCAGTTTTAGATTTAAGCTCAGTTAACTTTGTTAGTATTGCCAAGTTTTCACTCAAAAACATAAACAATAAACAGCTGTTTTTTTGCAAACAATACTTTTGTAAAATGGAAAATTTTTGAAATATGTTAAATAAACATTTAAAACATTAATAAATAAAACAAAACAAATCAGAAAATTGCAATTTACTTAAAATATTAAGTTTTTGTTCTTCCGAAATCATTGTTTTATTGTTTTTGTTAATTGTGTTTTCTCACTTATAACTTGAGTTTAATTGGCCAATTACATTCAGTTAAACTAAGATAATAGGTAACTTTACTGATATAACTGAAAAACACGAAACATATATTAAACCAGGTTTAACCAAAGAATGAAGATTATTTATCAGAAAAACTCGCCCTAAGTAACATTACAAATTACTGAAAACACACATTAAACTAGGTTTAAGCCAAAGTAAATTAATTTACTTTGGTTTAAGCAAATAATGTAGATTATCTTTATCTGAAACCAAAAAAAAAACATTGGTTTCAAATTAAATTCGGTTGAATTTTTTAAAAGTCATTCACGTGAAATTAACAACAAATAATTTTACACTGACAAAAAAATTAAACAATTAAAACACGTAAACTTTGAACCTTTAAATTTATTATATTAAGCTTTTGCATTCTCGGATACGAACTATAGTTTTAATAGAACCAAATAAACATATGTTAAATAAAAAAATAAATATTTGTTTGATTTTAAAGTATTTATATGTAGTTTATTAATATATGTAAACGTAAAATAATAGTATATATTTATATAAAAAATAAAATGCATTTCATGCTATTTCTTAAATGGAAATTATACACTTGCATTAGTGTAAACAACAATATAAATTATGTATATGAATTAATTAATAATCAAACTCCAAAAGTTGTATATTAAAGTGACAAAATAGTAACTCCTCTTCATTAACATCTTTCAGATAAGCTTTTCTATCTGCGTAGAGCTTGGCAGCAGCCTTAAGCATTTGCTCATTAGCCACAATAGTAGGAGGAACAGAAAGATATTTTTCAGCAACTTTTTTCAACTTATCATAACGACTTGTATTCCAATACATATAAATATTTGATTTTCTGAGCGACAAAGGTTCATGTATATATAATGATAACTCATTTCTAAATGAAATATCAGTTTCAATAGTGACATCATGTTTTTCCCAAAGTGTATCATTTGACTTGCGTTTATCTTCTTTGCTGCAAGTTTTCAAGGTGTTTGCGGTTTCCATTTGTAAATAATTAGATATTTCCTTTTCAGCAATAGACATTTGGGTAATGCTTAAATATTTGTTTTTAAAACGAGGATCCAACAATGTGGACATTATTAAAAGGGGATTAGTTTCGATGAAATTGAATCTATTATTTAAAGCAAGTTTTAAATTATTTTGCAAATGATCTTCAGCATCAGCTTCTTCAAGTTTTGACTCCAACATTTTTATTAAGGGTATTATTACAGAGATCGTTGCTGTATCTGCAGATAGATCTGTTGTTGCCTCATAAATAATTTTCAAAGACTCTACAATATTTTTCAAATAATTCCATTCTTCTGTAGTTAAATTTTCTATGTCTCCCTTTTCTTCCGAATAAAACGATATAGCTATTTTTTGTTCCACAAATCTCTTCATCATCAAATAGCTGTTTGTTTCTACATCTTGAGTAAGACAGTGTTTATCGAGTGAATATTTTTCCTGTAAAGTCTGAAAATATTCACTTGCCTGCTGTGATGTTTCGAAGTGTTTAGCAATTTTACGACACTTTGTAAGAATTTCCTCTACTTGTTCCTTATTATTAAAAATGGCATCATTCACTACTAACTGCATGGTATGAGCTACACATTTAAATTCTTTTATCTTTGTGTCTCCAAGGTTATGTATTTTATCGCCAACAGTTAGATGCAGTTTTTCTTCAAGTTTGAAATTTTTTATAATTTCCGGCAATTTTTCTTTTATATAAGAATCTAAATAAACAAATATAATTGAAAACACGTTGTATACAACTGTGGCGAATCTTATATGCCCATTACCAAAACAGTATTGTTTTAATTTTAATCTTTTATTATTTTTTCTTAGGGCGGGTTTCTTACTACTCAGTTAAGGCTTAACTTGCTGTTAGATTAAACTCCAAACAAATTTAGGCGGACTTTAACCGATGATTGTGTTTTTCAGTTATGTATCTAAGGGCGGGTTTTTAGATAAAGATAATCTACATTCTTTATTTAAACCTAGTTTAAAATATATTTTGTGTTTTTCAGTTATCAGTAAAGTTACTTATTATCTTAGTTTAACTGAGTTATACGTGAGAAAACACAATTAACAAAAACAATAAAACAATAATTTCGGAAGAACAAAAACTTAATATTTTAAATAAATTCCAATTTTCTGATTTGTTTTGTTTTATTTATAATTGTTTTAAATGTTTATTCAACATTTTTCCAAAATTTTTAATTTTTTTTTACTTATTATCAGTTAAACTTAGATAATAAGTAACTTTACTGATTACGGAAAAACACAAAACATATATTAAACCAGGTTTAAACAAAGAATAAGAAGTAGGGTTCTATAGTTGAAACGAAAAGTCGACTTTTCGACTTTTTGTATTTTATGAAAAGTCGACTTTTTGACTTTTCGAATTTTTGCATTTTATGAAAAGTCGACATTTCCACTTTTTGCATTTTATGAAAAGTCGACTTTTTGACTTTCGACTTTTTGCATTTAATTAAAAGTCGATTTTTCGACTTTTCGTTTTTAATATTTTATAAATAGTCGACTTTTTCCGACTTTTCGACTTTTTCCGACTTTTCGACTTTTTCCGACTTTTCGACTATTTTCGACTTTCTGACTTTTTCCGACCAGAGTTAAAAATTTATAAAGTTGCCAGAAGCGTAAATTCATAATGTTGCCATTTAACATTATATTATTATTATTATTTATTATTAATAAAAAAAATTTTATTTATATTTTTTCTATTTGTTGCAATTTTTTGAATTTTTTCGACTTTTTCCGATTTTTCGACTTTTTCGACTATTTTCGACTTTTTCCGACTATTTTCGACTTTTTCCGATTTTTTTGATTTCTTTCGACTTTTTCCGACTTTCCGACTTTTTTCGACTGTTCGACTTTTTTCGACTTTTCGACTTTTATTTACAAAGTCGACTTTTCGACTTTTTTCATAGACGATAGTCGAGTTATCGACTTTTTTGGAACAAAATAGTCGACTTCGACAAAAGGTCGATTGTTCGATTATTCGAAAGTCGATTTATAGAACCCTAATAAGAAGAATCAGAAAAACCCGCCCTTAAAGTTTTTCATGTAAATTCATCTAAGAATTTATATTTTTTTCGGTGTAGTATTGATTCTAAAATTTTGAATCACTCCCACAGTCAAAAAATACAACACTATTGGATTAGGGTATATATGTTTAAATATAAAAACAAAATAAATACCTTTTTGATCATTTTCCAAAACCTTAGCGGCTAACACCAACTTTTTTCTTAGGGAACCAATTAGAAAATGGGCTGTAAATGTTATCAGTAACAGGTTTGAATTATTAGCAAAACTCCAATTGTCTATAGTTAAACTTATCCATGTTGGTGTTGCTGTCATTGTTAACACCTTTGCCCTGACATTGTTATAGGTTTCCGGTCTAAGTGTTGAAGCGAAAAATTGCTGTGATTTTTGCTTATACCGACTATTTGTTGTTGTGGGATCAGCAAATTTTAATCGTTGAAATGCCTTTCCATCGACTACGCTGCATGGCAGCATATCAACCAGAATCAAATCCATTAGAGATTTATCAATTTGTTTAGCTATAACGTGATCATCTGGCCAGAAGCCTTGTTCTGTATATACGTTTGAAGAAATCGGGAGTGCATTTGACACATTTTCATTAGCTTCATTTTGTATTAAATTATTACGCAATAGACCAAAATTAAAACCAGTTATATTTTCATTTCCTGAAAGAGTTTTGGTATTAAAAACTCCTCGAGAACGATTATTTGTATTATGTGATTTAACAGTCGATGGAACTGTTTTAGATTTGGCGCCAACAACATCTTTTATTCCAAATGGATTTTTCGAATTGGCACTTGTTTGCTTTTCCAAAAAGTTATTAAAATTATTCGATGATTTGAAAGTTGCTACTCCCGATTGTTTATCTACACTAATAGTTTTCGACGAAACAGGTTTAGAATTCTCTATTCCATAGAGTTTGTCTAAATTGGCACCGCCTGAAGTTTTCTTTTCCAAAAAGTTATTAAAATTATTCGTTGGAACAGGTTTTAAAATAGCGCCATTAGATTTGGCCTTTCCTGAGGGATTCTCTGTATTATTTTCAAATACACTATTAGTGTTCGATGAAACAGTTTGGGAATTTTCTTTTCCAAAAGTATTATTCAAATTGGCGCTATTAGTAGTTAATGGCTCAGATTTAGAATTGAAGTCAGCAGTACTGTTTCCAAAAATATTCGAAATGCCATTAGCAAAAGGTTCCTTAACCACAAGTTTGTTGTTACTTAAATTATTCAATACATCAGGTTTGGTATTGGTACTAGTTGGTTTTACCATTCTATAAGGATTGCGGTTACTACTGCTTGGCAATTGCATTGACACTGCAGCAGATTGTGATGAGATGCAAGCCGAATTTTCTTTACCAAAAGGATTGTTTTTATTTGCGTCCTCTGTCTTTTGCATTGTAGATGCAAAAATTGGTAATCCCAAGATATTGTTGTTATTATTAGTTGAGGTGCGAGAAGAATTTTCTTTTGCAAAAGGATTGTTTTTATTTGCATCCTCTGTCTTTTGCATTGTAGATGCAAAAATTGGTAATCCCAAGACATTGTTGTTGTTGCTTGTGGTCGATAAACCAATCTTAATATTGCTGTTAGCAAACTGTTGCTCTCCAAAGGGATTATTATTTGTAGCACCACTGCCGCACTTTAGCGGCGAAGTGTTTTTCACTTTTTCATCCACAGATGAGTCATATAGATTAATTGCGACATTAACAATATCCAATGTTACTTTCATTTTATTTCTAGCTTCTTGGATGTCTTTGTTGTATTGTTCATGATATTGACCAAAGAAATTCTTTAATTTCGTTTCGTAGAACGACAATCGTACTTCTTCAAATGATTGATCCTCTATAAAGTTAGGTAGCGATTGCTTATACGCAAATGGTCCATACGACGATAAGGGCCATATTTTACCATTAATCGCCTCCTTCATATCTGTTTCAATTACATTTCTAACATCGACATGTTGATTGGGACATTTGGAATCAAGATAACAACAACGTCGTTGATATAATTTACATAAAGCCATTATTGTTAGCTTTCCTTTGCAAAGAATTGATAAAATTAGCGTTTTACTCAAAAAATTCTCAATCAAATATTTTGTTTATGATGAAATATAATAAGTGTTCTACCGATTATAAAAAGGTTCGGCCGAAATTTAAATAGTATTTTAAGTCATAATAAAAAAGGGTTTTCGCATAAAAATAATTTTTAGAAAATTATAAAATATTTTCTGCCTGTTTCTCTAAATGCGAACAAACATTTCTTTCACATTTTATATTAAAAACAATAACAATTTTTTCAATTTATTTGTTGTTTTTAATATAAAACTAGAAAATACTAGGGTTCTATAAATAGACTTTCGAATAATCGACTTTTTGTCGAAAAAAGTCGAAAAGTCGAAGTCGACTATTTTGTTCCAAAAAAGTCAATAACTCGACTATCGTCTATGAAAAAAGTCGACTTTGTAAATAAAAGTCGAAAAGTCGGAAAGAGTCGAAAAGTCGGAAAGTCGGAAAAAGTCGAAAAAAGTCGGAAAAAGTCGAAAATAGTCGAAAGAAGTCGAAAAATTCGTATAAAGTCGAAAATAGTCGGAAAAAGTCGAAAATAGTCGAAAAAAGTCGAAAATAGAAAGAAGTCGAAAAAACTCAAAAAATTGCAACAAATAGAAAAAAATATAAATAAAATTGTTTTATTAATAATAATAAATAATAATAATATAATGTTAAATGGCAACATTATAAATTTACGCTTCTGGCAACTTTATAAATTTTTAACTCTGGTCGGATAAAGTCGAAAATAGTCGAAAAAAGTCGGAAAGTCGAAAAAAGTCAAAAGTCAAAAATAGTCGAAAAGTCGGAAAAAGTCGAAAAAAGTCGGAAACAGTCGAAAAGTCGACTATTTATAAAATATTAAAAGTCGAAAAGTCGACTATTTATAAAATATTAAAAGTCGAAAAGTCGAAAAATCTATTTTTAATTAAATGAAAAAAGTCGAAATGTCGAAAAATCGACTTTTAACTAAATGCAAAAAGTCGAAAAGTCGACTTTTCATAAAATGCAAAAAGTCAAAATGTCGACTTTTCATAAAATGCAAAAAGTCGAAAAGTCGTCTTTTCATAAAATGCAAAAAGTCGAAAAGTCGACTTTTCGTTTCAACTATAGAACCCTAGAAAATACTTGTTCGTTTGCATTTAGAGAATCAGGCCCTTTATAATAAAAAAAATTGTTCTTCGCAATTTTTCAATTAAAAACTAAATTTCAATAAGAAAGTATTCTTTAAATAAATTTAAATATTTCGAAACTTTAATTAAAATCATAATTTTATAAATTCTATTCGCTATTAAAGAAATCATTCACATATAATTGATAACCTATAAGAATACACTAAATGAAAAATGTAATAAAAAATTCGACATTTTATGCTTTTAAAGTTTAGATTAAGATATATAATGCTTCCATGCACTTTATACTTAAGAAGGTACCAGTACTTGAGAGCAACCGCACGATTGTCAAATTTTTTTTATATAGAGTTTGATAAACGTGCGGTTTAAGCCTGTATAAAAGTCTAAGGGCGTGTTTCTTACTCCTTAGTTAAACTAGGCTTAACTTGCTGTTAGATTAAACTCGGAACAAATTTAGGCGGACTTTAACCGATGATTGTGTTTTTCAGTTTTAGATTTAAGCTCAGTTAACTTTGTTAGTATTGCCAAGTTTTTACTCAAAAACATAAACAATGAACAGCTGTTTTTTGCAAACAATACTTTTGTAAAATAGAAAATTTTGGAAAAATGTTAAATAAACATTTAAAACAATAATAAATAAAACAAAACAGATCAGAAAATTGCAATTTACTTAAAATATTAAGTTTTTGTTCTTCCGAAATCATTGTTTTATTGTTTTTGTTAATTGTGTTTTCTCACTTATAACTTGAGTTTAATTGGCCAATTACACTCAGTTAAACTAAGATAATATGTAACTTTACTGATAACTGAAAAACACGAAACATATAATAAACCAGGTTTAACCAAAGAATGAAGATTATCTTTATCAGAAAAACTCGCCCTTACAGAATTTCACTGCGATATTAATGGTTGAGTAAATTTTGGACGTTTAAGGGCGGGTTTCTTACTACTTAGTTAAACTAGGCTTAACTTGTTGTTAGATTAAACTCGTAACAAATTTAGGCGAACTTTAACCAATGATTGTGTTTTTCAGTTATGGACTTAAGTTCAGTTAACTTTGTTAGTATTGCCAACTTTTCACTCTAAAACATAAACAATGAACAGCTGTTTTTTGCAAATGATAGTTTTGTAAAATTGAACATTTTGGAAAAACAAATCAGAAAATTGCAATTTACTTAAAATATTATGCTTTTGTTCTTCCGAAATCATTGTTTTATTGTTTTTGTTAATTGTGTTTTCTCATTTATAACTTAAGTTTAATTGACCAATTGAGAGTCAAATCGAAATGCGAAATACCAAAGTTGCCAAACGGAGAAAATTTCGATTCGAATTGAAATGCAGAAAAGAGGCCAATTTGTGCCGATTTTTGGAGTGATGGTAGTAAATGTAATGTAATTTTGGCATAAAAAGCCCAAATCGGGAGGTTTTATGGAGGCTATATGAAATAATGGACAGATTTTCAATATGCTTCGACTCTGTGCCGAAAAACTCTTTTTGTCCAAATTTTATCAAAATATTTTAATAATAATAAAATATTGGACCATTTTTTTACTATGCTTCGTCTCTGTGCGGCTGTACAGTCAGATGGACGGACATGTCTCTTCCAATCAGTATAATTTAAGGTCTGTGAGAGTCCATTAATACATGTTCGAAATAGATGATATAATTTGATATCAAAGACATTACTCTTAAAAATTTATAAAAAATCGGTGTATGGTTTTTCATTTATGTCCATATTCTATATTAACAGTAAAAATAGTTTATTTTACTTCCATCAGTTACAAAGAAAACTGAGTTATACTCAACTCTATATTATTCATAATATTTTAAACATTTCCAAACTTATTCTGTGGCAGTATAAGTGTTAGAAATAGCAGCAATAGGTTGTGGCATGTTCTCTTCTTTAGACTCGTTTAAAGCGGACTGCAAACGACACTCTATATTAAGGACATTCATGGCATTAGCTGCCTGATCAATAATCACATCATTCTCAATACTACTGTTCTTTTCAATAGTTTTTTCCCAAGCCAGATCAAAGGGATATTCTAGAGGTTTCAATTCAGCTGGACAATCATCTTGATTGGGTGCAGTGGCCAATTGTATATTGGCACCTTTAGTATGGATACGTTCCAACTGGGCTACATCAAGCGTTTCAGCATTCAGGGAGGTAATGTGCTCAAATAATGCCTCCTTTGTATGACACCCAGGAACACCTTTCTTGCTGAAGAACTAATATTTACAAAATAGTATTAAAAAATATCTAAAACTTACTAAAGCAACTCTATAAAAATTTACCGTTATTATATTATTACAATCCCTCATTAAAAATTCCAAAGCCGATGGATGTTGCGGTTCAACAGCCTGAGCCACATCAATAAACCAACATTTTCCCTCATGCCAAAGAATATTATATTCACTTAAATCAGCATGAACCAACTTGGCTTCATTATACAACTTATGCATGGCTTCGACTACCTCATCATAGGCAGCAATCCATTCAGCCGTAGTCAATATAGCATCCTTTAATTTGGGCGCTGCTCTATTGTTCTCACCAATAAATGACATAACAAGAACATGATTTTTCAATATAACCACTTCAGGACATCTTATGCCGGCATTATGAAGACGCATTAAATTATGCATTTCCTTCTCGGCCCACATATTGATAATGATCGTATTATTTTGCTTACTAAAACGAACATTGAAACGATTCTTAAAGCGATAATCATCTTTGATATAACGATCACGTTGTTTAAAATCGTTTAAAGTAGTTTTGAAAATTTTTACCGCACATTCTTTGGGCATTAGTTGCGGATGATCGGGATCATCGCCGATGAATGTAGGATCGGAATTGGCATGCAAAATGACGGCTTCTTTGCCGGTGGAAATAATACCATTGATTTGTTCCAATATTTGATTATTGATTAATTTATACAGCAACAAACGTGTACGGCCATCAACGCCCATTTCAGCGGTTGCTGCATTATCCTTACGATCCTGCATACGATGAGTTTTTTTATAGCTTTTGCGCGAATGTGTCTTAAGTTGATTAAAAACCTGTTGTAAATTGGGAAATGTAGTGAACATGTAGCTAAGAAATACCATTACCAATCTTTTACTTACCCTATTGGATAGCTTCATTTCGAAACCAGCACCATCACCGGTAGCAAACTCCAAAGGAAATGACATCATACGGCAGGCATTGCGCACACCGCACAATTCTTCATCATGTTTAGTAATCATTTCACCTTCTTTGTCGACCGTATAACCACATTTGGGTATGGCCTCTAGTAAACGTTCATTGGCATCAAAACGATCCCAGTCACTTTTATCACGTAATGGTTCATCCTCATAATTATCTTCCAATTCTTCTCCAACATCCTTCAAATAGGTCTTGCGATATTTATCCAAACATACCGTAACCTTCGATTGTTTATTGTGAGCCTTCTCTATACGTTTCAAATCTTCGTTGTACTCCTTGTCGAATTGAGCCTGCAACATTTGAGCAATAACAGCATCTGAATCACAGACAGTCGAAGCTGCCGCTTCCTGTGCCATTAATTCTTCCTCTTCACTTTTTAGAAATGCCAACACTTCAGGAGGCAAATTAGCATCGAATTCCTCCATGTCAACAAAGTCCCAAGTGTCGTCCTCCAATTTTGTGGCATCCTCCAAACTGCGCACTAAGGCCTCTTCTAGATCTTGTTTCTCTCGTAGTTTTCGTTTCTCCCTTTCCGTTTCCAGCTTTAGTTCTTTTTCTAGTTTTTGAGTTTTGACAATCGTTGCAAAATTCATGGGTTCCACTGCGGGTTTGGTAATTTGACCCCATGGGCATGCTGGACTATTCGAATTTGTATTGGCAGCCATTTTTTGTTGCTTCTTATATTAAATAAAACTTAACTAACAGGTGATCTATTATTTTAACAATAATATTATTATTTTAAACGAATTGTATAAAAACGAGTTGTGTTTTTTGATGAAATATGCGAACTACTTTTTTGCTTTGTTTGTATTTGTTTTATATATTCAAGACAATTGTGAAATATCTAAGAATATTGTATAAAATGTTGGTATTTTAGAGCAATCTTTGTGTCTCTAGTGTTATTTTACTGTCAAAGTCTGTATGTTTTTGTTGGAAAAGTAAATTTTTTCAAAAACAACTAAAAGTAATTTTGACAGTTTTGTTTTACCACACAAGTAATCTATTACCACTTTGTTAAATCTGCTTTGTGAAATTTGTTTTTGACAGCTGATATTCACTGTGTGTTATTAACAAAAGTATTATTTCACAATGTACTGTATAAACACAAAAATCAGTAAAATATTTCAAGAAACATATTTCGGCTTATGAGCAGTAGGGTTCTATAAATCGACTTTCGAATAATCGAACAATCGACTTTTTGTCGAAAAAAGTCGAAAAGTCGAAGTCGACTATTTTGTTCCAAAAAAGTCGATAACTCGACTATCGTCTATGAAAAAAGTCGAAAAGTCGACTTTGTAAATAAAAGTCGAAAAAAGTCAAAAAGTCGGAAAGTCGAAAAAAGTCGAAAAGTCGAAAAAAGTCGATAAGTCGAAAAAAGTCGAAGAAAGTCGAAAAAAGTCGAAAAGTCATAAAAAGTGGAAAAGTCGGAAAAAGTCGAAAAGTCGAAAAAAGTCGAAAATTTTAAAAAAGTGGAAAAGAGGTCAAAAACTCTAAAATAGTCGGAAAAACTCGAAAAAAGTAAAAAATAGTCGAAAAAAGTCGAAAAAAAGTCGAAATAAGTCGAAAATAGTCAAAAAGTCGTAAAAAATCGAAAAGTCGAAAAGTCGGAAAAAGTCGAAAAATGTCGGAAAAAGTCGAAAAAAGTCGAAAAAAGTCGAAAAGTCGAAAAAAGTCGAAAAGTCGAAAAGTCGGAAAAAGTTGAAAAGTCGAAAAAAGTCGGAAAAGGTCGAAAAGTCGGAAAAAGTCGAAAAGTCGACCATTTATAAAATACTAAAAGTCTAAAAGTCGACTTTTAAATAAATGAAAAAGGTCGAAAAGTCGAAAAATCGACTTTTCATAAAATGGAAAAAGTCGAAAGGTCGAAAAGTCGACTTTTAACTAAATGCAAAAAGTCGAAAAGTCGACTTTTCGTTTCAACTATAGAACCCTAGTTTATAACCTGACGACAGGGTAAATTCGTCAGACCGTAACAATAAAAAATTGGAGCTGTTTGGAGTCGGTAAGGATTAAAAAGAATAGTGAAAGCGTTTAGCAAATTATACAAGATTTCAAGCCGTCTTAAGATGAAAAAATGTCGGCGTCTAGGCTTTGAAATTTATTCGGCGGCTAGGCTTGGCCGACTTTAAGACAAACCGACGCAGGTTTCTGTATGTGTGATGTGGCCAACGAAAACTATTTTTCCATTTTTTTACGAGACAAATATAGAGATTTCTAAATAAAAAAGGAAAATAATTGGGAAAAAAGTGAAATTTATTGACGAATAGCAAACGAAAAACGCAATGCACAATGTGGAAACTACAAGAGGCAACGAATTTATTAATACGATTAATTTTAATCTTAGTTTTTACTGCACAACTTTTGGACACGACTCTGGCGTTATCGGACAAAAGATTATGTGCAGATGAAAATTGTAAAGGTAAAAGTGTACCATGTAAATCCAATAAGAAAATAGAACATTATCTCATAGCTAATATTTCTTTTTTAGGAATCATTTCTTTGGGTACGGGAAAAATTAATTATCGAGCGGGGGCAGAGGGTATGGTATCGTTTAAGATTAATGCTCCTATACGCATCAAATCAAAGAGTGCTGGCAAGGATCCTTCACTCTGGGGCATTGAAGTTAATGGTCGAGAGGGTTATGCTCCAAAACAATTTATACGTGAAACAAAAGTTCTAATTGGAGAGAAAAACCTCAAGTATATAGTTGATGTTAAACCAGTCAATGCAGTTCCTATTTTAAGCACCTCCGAAAAACCAGTGGAACAGGAAAATATTGTAGAAACAACCACCACTAAACCTCTTAATGTAGTACCTTTAGAATCGACTGAGAAACCTTTAGAAAATAATTCCAGTGAAAATAATGCTCCTGCTGAAGCACCTGCTGTTGCCACACCTGTTTTATCAGAAGTTGTAGATGGCACACAAATACCGATTTTTGCCAATGAATCAGATGGTGTCGTGGAAGAGGTGGATGAAGATGTTAAACCTCTAAATAAATATGAAGTGGAAGAGGAAATATATGAAGATGAAATTGGTGATTATGATGAGGAAGATGAGGAAGAGGAATTGCTTTATAAGCAGCAAATGCAAAAAGCACAAGAACAGCTAAAAGCAACTTTAGCAACTGATAGCAATAAGGATATGAAACTAGCAGAAGTAAATAATACTAATAATGAAGCCTCACAAGAAGATTTAAATAAGAGAGAAGAAAATAAACTACAATCTTCACAAGGTGAAAATGACAATAATTCAGTCAGAAATGATATAAAGTCTGAAGTTTTAGAGGAAAATCTTGAAATTTTAAATGAATCACAAGAAAAACCAAATACAATCTTGGATCCAGAATCAGACACAGATCACTTGAAAGAAGAAAGATCTCTCGAAATTTTGCCAAGTACTGAAGTTTTGAATGATAGTATAACACTTGAAAAAGAAGAAATTTTTAAAAATTTTGAAAAAGAAGATATGGGGAGTAAAGTCGTTGACGAAAATGCACAAACGCAGCAGGTTTTGCAAGAAAACCCTACTGCAGCTAATGAGAATCAACTGACTCCAGAACAAGTGAATAATGGTTCAATTGATGGTACACAAAGCCAAGAACAGCCACAAAATGATGCAGCTGATGCTAAAGATACTGTTAACACTGAAAATTTACCCCGGATTACAAAGGAAATCAAAGAAAACGATTCATCTAATGTTCACAGTCCAGCCAGTGATATTAACAATAATACTAATGAAAATTTCGCTAAAATAGATGAGCTAACAAATACCGAAGAAAATCTTAAGATTAACAATGAACAGGATCTTTCAGAGACAAACAAAGTATTGGATGTTGTAACACCGAAAGAGCCTTTATCAATGCAGGAGGAAGAAAAAAGTACAACCGAGAACACCAATCAGCAACAGGAGATTCTAAATGAAAATTCTGCACAACAATTGAAAACAGATAAAAAGCCTGAAGCAGACAACACGAATAGTTTGCCTACACACCATAATGACAATCTATTGACACAACCCACAAATACAGAATCTGCTTCAAGTACAGAATCTCATGAAGTTGAAGTTACTACTCCACAATATTATGTTGAAGAAATATTAACTACAACTCCAACACCTATTAACCAAGAAGAAAAGAGGCACGAGGAAAATGTAATAGAAAATATTAATCCAACAACCTACAGTCCATATTATGATGCCTCTTCAAATACACCAACACCTGCACCTCATTATGATCATCATGATCATAATCATTACGGTGATAATACCGATCAATATGGCCATAATCATGATCACGATCATTATGACTACTATAAACAGGAAGCAACAGAAATACCTCCAAATAATTACGATCATCATCATAACGATCATTACCATCACACTAATCAGCATATAACAACTGAAATTCCACCAAATGACTATTATGCCCAACAATATGAGTACGCTTCCACTGAAAGTTCAAACCAAAATATCGGTTCGTTTGAGGAAATTACAATTGCAAGTTACAATAATATACCCTCTACCGTAGCTCCGGAAACTGCTACAGCTTCGATGAAAAGCGAAGATAAAAAAGAAGAACAACCAAAAGCGTTACCATCATCAACACCACCAACTTTTGAGGAAAATAAAGAAAATAAGGGATTATTTGCTACTATCATGGGTACGGTTAATAATGTGCTGTCACTCAATAAGAAAAACAAACATCATGAAGATGAAAATGAATTAGATAGAATATTATATTCGACTGGCAATGGACATAAACCTAGTTATGAAGGATTAAGTGAAGGTAAGATTAATTTTTAACATTCTGCTAGAGTGAATGAAATGATATCCTAGTCTGGTCTATAGTATAGCCTATAGTTTAGTCTATAGTCTAGTCTATAGTCTAGTCTATAGTCTAGTCTATAGTCTAGTCTATAGTCTAGTCTATAGTCTAGTCTATAGTTAAGTCTATAGTATAGTCTATAGCTTGGTCTATAGCTTAGTCTATAGCTTAGTCTATAGTCTGGTCTAGAGTTTAGTCTATAGTCTAGTCTAGTCTATAGTCTAGTCTATAGTCTAGTCTATAGTCTAGTCTATAGTCTAGTCTATAGTCTAGTCTATAGTCTAGTCTATAGTCTAGTCTATAGCCTAGTCTATAGTCTAGTCTATAGTCTAGTCTATAGCCTAGTCTATAGTCTAGTCTATAGCCTAGTCTATAGCCTAGTCTATAGTCTAGTCTATAGCCTAGTCTATAGTCTAGTCTATAGTCTAGTCTATAGTATAGTCTATAGTATAGTCTATAGTCTAGTCTAGTCTATAGTCTAGTCTATAGTCTAGTCTATAGTCTAGTCTATAGTCTAGTCTATAGTCTAGTCTATAGTCTAGTCTATAGTCTTGTCTATAGTCTAGTCTATAGTCTAGTCTATAGTCTAGTCTATAGTCTAGTCTATAGTCTAGTCTATAGTCCAGTCTATAGTCCAGTCTATAGTCTAGTCTATAGTCTAGTCTATGGTCTAGTCTATAGTCTAGTCTATAGTCTAGTCTATAGTCTAGTCTATAGTCTAGTCTATAGTCTAGTCTATAGTCTAGTCTATAGTCTAGTCTATAGTCTAGTCTATGGTCTAATCTATAGTCTAGTCTATAGTCTAGTCTATAGTCTTGTCTATAGTCTTGTCTATAGTCTAGTCTATAGTCTAGTCTATAGTCTAGTCTATAGTCTAGTCTATAGTCTAGTCTATAGTCTAGTCTATAGTATAGTCTAGTCTATCACTGTAGTCTATAGTCTAGTCTATAGTCTAGTCTATAATCTAGTCTATAGTCTAGTCTATAATCAAGTCTATAGTCTAGTCTATAGTCTAGTCTATAGTCTAGTCTATAGTCTAGTCTATAGTCTAGTCTATAGTCTAGTCTATAGTCTAGTCTATAGTCTAGTCTATAGTCTAGTCTATAGTCTAGTCTATAGTCTAGTCTATAGTCTAGTCTATAGTCTAGTCTATAGTCTAGTCTATAGTCTAGTCTATAGTCTAGTCTATAGTCTAGTCTATAGTCTAGTCTATAGTCTAGTCTATAGTCTAGTCTATAGTCTAGTCTATAGTCTAGTCTATAGTCTAGTCTATAGTCTAGTCTATAGTCTAGTCTATAGTCTAGTCTATAGTCTAGTCTATAGTCTAGTCTATAGTCTAGTCTATAGTCTAGTCTATAGTCTAGTCTATAGTCTAGTCTATAGTCTAGTCTATAGTCTAGTCTATAGTCTAGTCTATAGTCTAGTCTATAGTCTAGTCTATAGTCTAGTCTAGTCTGTCTAGTCTATAGTCTAGTCTATAGTCTAGTCTATAGTCTAGTCTATAGTTAGTCTATAGTATAGTCTATAGCTGGTCTATAGCTTAGTCTATAGCTTAGTCTATAGTCTGGTCTAGAGTTTAGTCTATAGTCTAGTCTAGTCCATAGTCTAGTCTATAGTCTAGTCTATAGTCTAGTCTATAGTCTAGTCTATAGTCTAGTCTATAGTCTAGTCTATAGTCTAGTCTATAGTCTAGTCTATAGTCTAGTCTATAGTCTAGTCTATAGCCTAGTCTATAGTCTAGTCTATAGTCTAGTCTATAGCCTAGTCTATAGTCTAGTCTATAGCCTAGTCTATAGCCTAGTCTATAGTCTAGTCTATAGCCTAGTCTATAGTCTAGTCTATAGTCTAGTCTATAGTATAGTCTATAGTATAGTCTATAGTCTAGTCTATAGTCTAGTCTATAGTCTAGTCTATAGTCTAGTCTATAGTCTAGTCTATAGTCTAGTCTATAGTCTAGTCTATAGTCTAGTCTATAGTCTAGTCTATAGTCTAGTCTATAGTCTAGTCTATAGTCTAGTCTATAGTCTAGTCTATAGTCTAGTCTATAGTCTAGTCTATAGTCTAGTCTATAGTCTATAGTCTAGTCTATAGTCTAGTCTATAGTCTAGTCTATAGTCTAGTCTATAGTCTAGTCTATAGTCTAGTCTATAGTTAAGTCTATAGTATAGTCTATAGCTTGGTCTATAGCTTAGTCTATAGCTTAGTCTATAGTCTGGTCTAGAGTTTAGTCTATAGTCTAGTCTAGTCCATAGTCTAGTCTATAGTCTAGTCTAGTCTATAGTCTAGTCTATAGTCTAGTCTATAGTCTAGTCTATAGTCTAGTCTATAGTCTAGTCTATAGTCTAGTCTATAGTCTAGTCTATAGTCTAGTCTATAGTCTAGTCTATAGCCTAGTCTATAGTCTAGTCTATAGTCTAGTCTATAGCCTAGTCTATAGTCTAGTCTATAGCCTAGTCTATAGCCTAGTCTATAGTCTAGTCTATAGCCTAGTCTATAGTCTAGTCTATAGTCTAGTCTATAGTATAGTCTATAGTATAGTCTATAGTATAGTCTATAGTCTAGTCTATAGTCTAGTCTATAGTCTAGTCTATAGTCTAGTCTATAGTCTAGTCTATAGTCTAGTCTATAGTCTAGTCTATAGTCTTGTCTATAGTCTAGTCTATAGTCTAGTCTATAGTCTAGTCTATAGTCTAGTCTATAGTCTAGTCTATAGTCCAGTCTATAGTCCAGTCTATAGTCTAGTCTATAGTCTAGTCTATGGTCTAGTCTATAGTCTAGTCTATAGTCTAGTCTATAGTCTAGTCTATAGTCTAGTCTATAGTCTAGTCTATAGTCTAGTCTATAGTCTAGTCTATGGTCTAATCTATAGTCTAGTCTATAGTCTAGTCTATAGTCTTGTCTATAGTCTTGTCTATAGTCTAGTCTATAGTCTAGTCTATAGTCTAGTCTATAGTCTAGTCTATAGTCTAGTCTATAGTCTAGTCTATAGTCTAGTCTATAGTCTAGTCTATAGTATAGTCTAGTCTATCACTGTAGTCTATAGTCTAGTCTATAGTCTAGTCTATAATCTAGTCTATAGTCTAGTCTATAATCAAGTCTATAGTCTAGTCTATAGTCTAGTCTATAGTCTAGTCTATAGTCTAGTCTATAGTCTAGTCTATAGTCTAGTCTATAGTCTAGTCTATAGTCTAGTCTATAGTCTAGTCTATAGTCTAGTCTATAGTCTAGTCTATAGTCTAGTCTATAGTCTAGTCTATAGTCTAGTCTATAGTCTAGTCTATAGTCTAGTCTATAGTCTAGTCTATAGTCTAGTCTATAGTCTAGTCTATAGTCTAGTCTATAGTCTAGTCTATAGTCTAGTCTATAGTCTAGTCTATAGTCTAGTCTATAGTCTAGTCTATAGTCTAGTCTATAGTCTAGTCTATAGTCTAGTCTATAGTCTAGTCTATAGTCTAGTCTATAGTCTAGTCTATAGTCTAGTCTATAGTCTAGTCTATAGTCTAGTCTATAGTCTAGTCTATAGTCTAGTCTATAGTCTAGTCTATAGTCTAGTCTATAGTCTAGTCTATAGTCTAGTCTATAGTCTAGTCTATAGTCTAGTCTATAGTCTAGTCTATAGTCTAGTCTATAGTCTAGTCTATAGTCTAGTCTATAGTCTAGTCTATAGTCTAGTCTATAGTCTAGTCTATAGAGTAGTCTATAGTATAGTCTATAGTCTAGTCTAGTCTATGGTCTAGTTTATAGTCTAGCCTATAATCTAATATATAGTCTAGTCGATAGTCTAGCCTATGTTCTAGTCTATAGTCAACAATTTCAATTTTTTACTAAAGTTCCAATTGTGTACTTATAGCGGAAAGTTTACAATATTGTAAGGAAATTGGACCCAATGGCGATTGTCCTCAAACGCCGGAGCATAATCATTATCACCCAGAATCCGAACACCACCACCATTCTTCGGCGAAATCAATCTTTAGCAGTGATTTAACTTTCGATACTTTCCTGAAAGCTCTAGCTGCGAAAATTCTTGAAATCAGCGAATTATTAGCCTTTTTAGTTATAGTGGCAGCAGCTTCGCTGTTTTTTATTTTTGGCTACTATTGTTTCTGCAATAGCAGTCGTGAGGGAGCTTTGCTTTCAAAACTCAATCAATTGGAAAGTAGCCTGCTAGCGTCCCATAAAGAAAATGCTATTTTGAAACATAATTTAATGTCTACACGACAAAAACTAGCTAGTATAGAAGACAATTCATTTGGTTCCAACGATATGGTGGTTTCTTTGAAAAAGGAACTAGAGGAGGAATTAATGGAAAAGGCACGATTGCAGGAGCAAATTACAGTTTTGCAAAAAGAACTAGAAAATGCTGCAGATGCGGGTATTGAACTAAACAAAATTGTATCCGAATTGTTAAGCAATCAAACAGGAGATGAAAGTATTATAAGTAGTGTAGAGGAGTTACAAAAACAACTAAACGAGCAACAAAGTAAGTTAAAAAGGATCAAGCTTATAATAATGAAAATTAACTTAATTTTAATTTTAAACTTTAAGACACTATTTTGGAAATCAATGCCAGTTTGGCTGAAAAGAGTCGTGAAAATAGTGAATTGCAATTGTTAATAGCAGAACAAAATGCTAGATATGAAACGGAATTGGCTAATGTACAACGTGACAACGATGAGCTGGAGCATGAAAAGGGCAATCTAATGACTAGATTGGAAGAGTTGAAAACTGATTTCGATAAGGATATAACAGCTGCTTTGGAAGGTAAAAATATGGAAATCAAGAGATTACAAAATGAAATTGTAGACTTGAGCAATAAATTGGAAAATGAACATACTAAATGGCAAACAAGTGTGGCTAAAATTGAGGTAAATATTTATTAATTCTAGTAAAGTTAAATAAAGTTAAATAACATTTTGTTAAACAATAGGCTTTGGAAGAGTGTTTGAAAAACGTAAGAAAAGATCCCAATGTTAACATTAGCGAAGTTATAGATGTGGCCAATGTCAAAGCTCAACTTATAGAAACACAAAAGAAATATAAATCGCTAAAGGAGCGTTTAGAAATTGAATTGGTATTTATTTATACAAAATTTTAATTTAATTGTATATAATTTAATAATTTTTATTTAAAAAGGATCAAAGAAAATTAGCAGAAAATCAGTTACAAGTAATAACCGCTGAAGTGGAAAAACTAAAACAAGATTTCAATCAATCAGAAAAGGATAAATTGGAGGCACAAACACGACTAGAAGTATTATCAAATTACTTCAAGGATAAAGAAAACCAATTGCAAAAGTAGAGTTTTTAAGAAAAATGGAAAATAAAGGTTTTTTATGGTATTTTTTTTTATTTTTTACCTTTCAGAGAGTTAAGCTTAAAGGAAGCCATGTGGTTGAAACAACAAGGTGAAACTACCACCACTGTGGATCGTGTAACTGCCATGCAAGAGGAAATACAATCATTAAAGTATGTAACTTATATATTTGTGGAAATGTTTGATGACAATTTTATAATTTTAGATCTCAAAATGATTCATTACGTGCTGAGATAGAGGCACAAGTAGCAGCTCATAAAGCCCAAACAGGCACCTTGGAGAATAGAGCTCATGAGACCTGGTTAGCGGCGCGACAATCTGACCGACGTTATGAGGAAGCCAGAGCAGAAGCCACGGCCTTAAGGCGTCAATTAACTGCCTTGGCTGGTGGTAATGTCAATGAAGCCAATAGTAAGAAAATTGTATGAGAATTTCATTCAATTATTAAACATGTTGATATTTTTACTTTTTTTTCAGAAGCCCCAGCTGGTCCTGTAGTTTTAGGTGATGAGTTAACACAAGCACCCTCACCCATACATATGGAATCACCAGGTTCACCCATGTTGGGTAGAATGCCACCACCACCATTTCTACCACCACCTTTTATGGGACCACCACCACCCTTTATGGGTATGCCACCACCACCTCCATTTGTGCCACCCGGTGAAATGCGTCCAGCACCATTGGGACGCATTATGTCTCCACCGCCACAACGTTCGGGTCGTTTCTCACCTCAGCACCTAGACTATGAAGATTATTTGGATTACGAGGGTGGTAATAATACATGGCACCGTCACACATACTCACCTCCACCACGTACATATCGTTCACTCTCTCCCACTGATAGTCGCTACAACTATGGTACTGAGCGTGATTTAATGTCTACCTACGATACAGAGACAGACTTCAGTCCACCTCCTAGTCCCCGAGAGTCTAGAAGACGAGGTGGCCATAGCAGTGAGAGAATCGATAATAGTAGTAGTAAAAGTCCTTATGGTAATACAAAAAAATTCAACTCATCCCATAAAGGTAATTAAAAACAAGAGAAATAATTGAAATTTTAACTAAATTCTTTTTTATGTGTAACTGTTTTATAGGACCCTTAAGTTCTGGTTCCGAAAAATCTTTTAATACTTCTTCACATCATGATAATAAAACCAAAAAAGGCACCTCTAGTAGTGGTGGTGGCGGTGGCGGTAAAAACTTAGTATGATTTATTGTTGTTGAGCAATTAAATCACAACAAAACTACCTTTAAAACAATTCCATTTTAAACGCATTAAGCCAATGACAAAGTCTGAGAGTGTGTGAGTCTAGCGTATGCCGTGTCTGCCGTTCATTGTTAATTGTGTAGTTATTTTTTTTTTAAATTTACCTAATCAACTACTATAAAAAAAATTACATACAAAAAAATTATATTTAGTTGAAAACAAGAGAAAAAAACAAAACAAAATTAAGCAAAAACAAACAAAATATAAAAAAAACAACTAAAAAATCAAAAAAAAACCAAAAACTAAAGTTATTACAAATCTCATTCCTTACCACGCCCTTTAACATTTGAAATTAAGCCATACCACAATTCCTAGTCACTTAACAATATTAACAAAACTAAATATCCCAGCTCCAAACATATACTTTGATTATATTCATCATTAAAACTAATTTTATGAACTACAATCAATTTTTATTAACTACAATCAATGACACAACAACATTTAATTCATACAAAAGTCTACAATCAAGATCAGTTCAGATTTATTTATTTATACAAACATAAGTATATGACTACAATCAATATTAGTAAAGCAGCATCTTCTTCTCTTATCAATTACAAATTACTTTAATGGTAAGTCAAGTATTTATGTTTTATTTTGTTTTTATTCATATTATTTTCTTATAAATAAATATGACAAAATATTTCGTTTTTTCGTCGTGTCATAGAAATGCTGATAAGATCTAACATAATCTTAGGATTTTTTCATATCAGTTGTTTTTTTATGTTGACTACTGCTGATTTTTCCCTTAAGACATAACAATTTTCTTGACTTTATCAAATTTGTTGCAGTTTGACTCGCATTGTCGCTTTTAACACATTTAACTGGCTCCTCAGTTTGAGTTGATATTGATCTAAAATTATGAAATGATAATTTAAGTTATGATCTGGTGATTACTCATTAAAAAAATATAATAAAAGTTGATGGTCCAGAGAATAAATATATTTTCGATATTCCACAGTTTTAGCTTGGTCAAAATTTTGGATATATATTGATGATACCGCAATAGTTTCAACTTCCTATGTGTAATAATATAGGTTGAAAAAGGGAGGCTTGTGGATAACCGGACCAGAACTTATAACAAAAATTGTAATCTTTTAGGTTTTAAAGACTAGACCATAGACTAGACTATGTATTACAGACTACTCTATAGACTAGACTATAGACTAGATTATAGACTAGACTATAGACTAGACTATAGACTAGACTATAGACTAGACTATAGACTAGACTATAGACTAGAACTATAGACTAGACTATAGACTAGACTATAGACTAGACTATAGACTAGACTATAGACTAGACTATAGACTAACTATAGACTAGACTATAGACTAGACTATAGACTAGACTAGACTAGACTATAGACTATAGACTAGACTATAGACTAGACTATAGACTAGACTATAGACTAGACTATAGACTAGACTATAGACTAGACTAGAGACTACTAGACTAGACTATAGACTAGACTATAGACTAGACTATAGACTAGACTATAGACTAGACTATAGACTAGACTATAGACTAGACTATAGACTAATACTATAGACTAGACTATAGACTAGACTATAGACTAGAACTATAGACTAGACTATAGACTAGACTATAGACTAGACTATAGACTAGACTATAGACTAGACTATAGACTAGACTATAGACTAGACTATAGACTAGACTATAGACTAGACTATAGACTAGACTATAGACTAAACTAGGTTAGACTAGACTATAGACTAAACTAGGCTATAGACTAGACTATAGACTAGACTACAGACTAGACTATAGACTAGACTATAGACTAGACTATAGACTAGACTATAGACTAGACTATAGACGAACTATAGACTAGACTATAGACTAGACTATAGACTAGACTATAGACTAGACTATAGACTAGACTATAGACTAGACTATAGACAAGACTATAGACTAGACTATAGACTAGACTATAGACTAGACTATAGACTAGACTATAGACTAGACTATAGACTAGACTATAGACTAGACTATAGACTAGACTATAGACTAGACTATAGACTAGACTATAGACTAGACTATAGACTAGACTATAGACTAGACTATAGGCTAGACTATAGACTAGACTATAGACTAGACTATAGACTAGACTATAGACTAGACTATAGACTAGACTATAGACTAGACTATAGACTAGACTATAGACTAGACTATAGACTAGACTATAGACTAGACTATAGACTAGACTATAGACTAGACTATAGACTAGACTATAGACTAGACTATAGACTAGACTATAGACTAGACTATAGACTAGACTATAGACTAGACTATAGACTAGACTATAGACTAGACTATATACTACAGACTAGACTATAGACTAGACTATAGACTAGACTATAGACTAGACTATATACTACAGACTAGACTATAGACTAGACTATAGACTAGACTATAGACTAGACTATAGACTAGACTATAGACTAGACTATAGACTAGACTATAGACTAGACTGTAGACTAGACTATAGACTAGACTATAGACTAGACTATAGACTAGACTATAGACTAGACTATAGACTAGACTATAGACTAGACTATAGACTAGACTGTAGACTAGACTATAGACTAGACTGTAGACTAGACTATAGACTAGACTATAGACTAGACTATAGACTAGACTATAGACTAGACTATGGACTAGACTATAGACTAGACTATAGACTAGACTATAGACTAGACTATAGACTAGACTATAGACTAGACTATAGACTAGACTATAGACTAGACTATAGACTAGACTATAGACTAGACTGTAGACTAGACTATAGACTAGACTATAGACTAGACTATAGACTAGACTATAGACTAGACTAGACTATAGACTAGACTATAGACTAGACTATAGACTAGACTATAGACTAGACTATAGACTAGACTATAGACTAGACTATAGACTAGACTATAGACTAGACTATAGACTAGACTATAGACTAGACTATAGACTAGACTATAGACTAGACTATAGACTAGACTATAGACTAGACTATAGACTAGACTATAGACTAGACTATAGACTAGACTATAGACTAGACTATAGACTAGACTATAGACTAGACTATAGACTAGACTATAGACTAGACTATAGACTAGACTATAGACTAGACTACTAGACTATAGACTAGACTATAGACTAGACTATAGACTAGACTATGAGACTAGACTAGACTATAGACTAGACTATAGACTAGACTAGACTATAGACTAGACTATAGACTAGACTATAGACTAGACTATAGACTAGACTATAGACTAGACTATAGACTAGACTATAGAATAGACTATAGACTAGACTATAGACTAGACTATAGACTAGACTATAGACTAGACTATAGACTAGACTATAGACTAGACTAGACTAGACTATAGACTAGACTATAGACTAGACTATAGAATAGACTATAGACTAGACTATAGACTAGACCTATGACTAGACTATAGACTAGACTATAGACTAGACTATAGACTAGACTATAGACTAGACTATAGACTAGACTATAGACTAGACTATAGACTAGACTATAGACTAGACTATAGACTAGACTATAGACTAGACTATAGACTAGACTATAGACTAGACTATAGACTAGACTATAGACTAACTATAGACTAGACTATAGACTAGACTATAGACTAGACTATAGACTAGACTATAGACTAGACTATAGACTAGACTATAGACTAGACTATAGACTAAACTGTAGACTAGACTATAGACTAGACTATAGACTAGACTATAGTCTAGACTATAGACTAGACTGTAGACTAGACTATAGACTATAGACTAGACTATAGACTAGACTATAGACTAGACTATAGCCTGAAATATAGACAATTCTTTAGACAAGACTCTAAAAATTCATTTTCCATTAAAAATTTACTTTTATATAAAATTTTAATTTTCAATAAAAATTTTTATGTTCATGAAAAATATTAATTTTCCTTGAATATATGAATTTTCACTGTTTTTCGAAACTAGTCTTTCCAAAAATTATAAATTCATTAAAAATATGATTTTCGTTATTAATTTTCTCTTTATTTAAAATCTGAATTTTCATTAAAAATCTGAAATTTCATTAAAAATATGAATTTTATTTAAAATTTTGAATTATTATTAATAATCTGAAATTTTATTAAAAATGTGAATTTTCGTTAAAAAATTTTAATTTGTTTTAAATATATGAATTTCGATTTTTAAAAAAATTTTATATAGTTTTCATTAAAAAGTAGATTTTTCAAAAAAATTTAACTTTTTAAAATCTGAATTATCATGGAAAATTGTAGTTTTGATTAAAAATACAAACTTTCATTAAAAATATGAATTTTCATTAAAAATATGAATTTTTATTGAAAATATGTATTTTTGGATTTTTATTAAAATTTTTATTATTAATTAAAAAACGATTTTTCTAAAATTAAAAAATGTGAACGATTTTCTCAAAAGTGATTAAATTTTAAATAAATTCAGTCATTGTAAACATTAAATTAAATTCATATCGTATTTATGCTTAAATTCTTAGACCCACTTACCTACTATCGTCCTTTAACGTTTCAGAATCTGCCAGCGAGTTTCTTTCCACTATTCCTTTTATCATTTCCGCATTACCACTTAATAATTGATTTTGATTGATCACTATTTCACCAATTTCATTTAACATATAAATAACAACATCAAAATCTTTGGCCGACGATCTCCAACATAAAGGTTCACATGATTTTTTCCGAATTTATCATATCAATAAACAAATCCGTTTGAGTATTAGAGTTTCTAGTATTGTCATCAGTGTTGGTGGATTTCACCTGGTTTAATCTTTTGCATTGGATTCCTCGGCATTCACAAACAACTGAATCCGTTTGACAAGTTTTTGAACAGGTTCCTAAGTTAGATATAAGTTGCTGGTTTCTAGCTTTTCTATTATATATAGCCGAGGCTATAGTTTGTTGAGCTGATGTAGTAGTAATCGCTAACATTTCACTTTGTGTTGATTTTGTTTTTGTTATTAAAGGCTTTAGCGAAATTTCGGTTTGTATTGCTTTGTATCTCTTGGAATTTCTATAGTAGATGTTGCTTTATCTTCGTAATTTATATCTTTCGATGTTGCTAAATTTCCTTCCATTTTGTTTTTCTTTTTGCGGTATCTTTTATAATTAGTACGATAATGTTTTATACGTTCGGCCCAAGTTTTGATTTTGCAATTGGGTGTTTTTATACTTTTGATAGACAACATTTTTCCTTTTATCACATATTTTATAATAAAACTAAATTTAAAGTTAAGAGGTTTGCAAAGAATTAGCAATTTTGGTTTCTATTTACATTTCACTTACCACAATTTTCCTATGTAAATACGGCGACTGGCTCTAATTGGTTTTTTCGATGATAAGGATTTTAATAATAATGTTTTTATATCCATTTTTATTTATTTTACATAAATAATTTAAAAAATATCGAAATAAACTAAAGAAAAAACAAAAAAGTCCAATTTCTTTTTATTTCAATTTCAAAAAGCAATTATAAAATTATTATTTTAGTTAATTTTCAGTGTATGGTTTGATGGTGCGGGTAAATCCACCCTTTTCATCACTTTGTAATTACTCATAAATCTGACTCTTCTAGGCAAATATGCTCTTTACGCATACTTGGCGATCCGCTATTAAACTATATTAATTTTGAAATATGAATATATGTATGTGTGCCAGGGATGGAAAATTAAAATTTTGAAGTAGTAAACTACAAAGAGTACTTTATACGATGATGAAATCACTAGACTATATACTAGATTATGGACTAGACTATAGACTAGACTATAGACTAGATTATAGACTACCTATACACTAGACTAAGACTAGACATGAAGACTAGACTATAGACTAACAGACTATAGACTAGACTAGACTAGACTTAGACTAGACTATAGACTAGACTATAGACTAGACTATAGACTAGACTATAGACTAGACTATAGACTAGACTATAGACTAGACTATAGACTAGACTATAGACTGAACTATAGACTAGACTATAGACTAGACTATAACTAGACTATAGACTAGACTATAGACTAGACTATAGACTAGACTATAGACTAGACTATAGACTAGACTATAGACTAGACTATAGACTAGACTATAGACTAGACTATAGACTAGACTATAGACTAGACTATAGACTAGACTATAGACTAGACTATAGACTAGACTAAGACTAGACTATAGACTAGACTATAGACTAGACTATAGACTAGACTAGACTATAGACTAGACTAGACTAGACTATAGACTAGACTATAGACTAGACTATAGACAGACTATAGACTAGACTATAGACTAGACTATAGACTAGACTATAGACTAGACTATAGACTAGACTATAGACTAGACTATAGACTAGACTATAGACTAGACTATAGTCTAGTCTATAGACTTAGACTAGACTAGACTATAGACTAGACTAGACTATAGACTAGACTATAGACTAGACTATAGACTAGACTATAGACTAGACTATAGACTAGACTAGACTAGACTATAGACTAGACTAGACTAGACTAGACTAGACTAGACTAGACTAGACTAGACTAGACTAGACTAGACTAGACTAGACTAGACTAGACTATAGACTAGACTAGACTATAGACTAGACTATAGACTAGACTAGACTATAGACTAGACTAGACTATAGACTAGACTAGACTATAGACTAGACTATAGACTAGACTATAGACTAGACTATAGACTAGACTATAGACTAGACTAGACTATAGACTAGACTATAGACTAGACTATAGACTAGACTATAGACTAGACTATAGACTAGACTATAGACTAGACTATAGACTAGACTATAGACTAGACTATAGACTAGACTATAGACGAGACTATAGACTAGACTATAGACTATACTAGACTATAGACTAGACTATAGACTAGACTAGACTATAGACTAGACTATAGACTAGACTATAGACTAGACTATAGACTAGACTATAGACTAGACTAGACTATAGACTAGACTATAGAGTAGACTAGACTATAGACTAGACTATAGACTAGACTATAGACTAGACTAGACTAGACTATAGACTAGACTAGACTATAGACTAGACTAGACTATAGAGACTAGACTAGACTAGACTATAGACTAGACTAGACTATAGACTAGACTATAGACTAGACTATAGACTAGACTATAGACTAGACTATAGACTAGACTATAGACTAGACTATAGACTAGACTAGACTAGACTATAGACTAGACTAGACTAGACTAGACTATAGACTAGACTAGACTATAGACTAGACTATAGATATACTAGACTATAGACTAGACTATAGACTAGACTAGACTATAGACTAGACTAGACTATAGACTAGACTAGACTATAGACTAGACTATAGACTAGACTATAGACTAGACTATAGACTAGACTATAGACTAGACTAGACTATAGACTAGACTATAGACTAGACTATAGACTAGACTATAGACTAGACTATAGACTAGACTATAGACTAGACTATAGACTAGACTATAGACTAGACTATAGACTAGACTATAGACTAGACTATAGACTAGACTATAGACTAGACTATAGACTAGACTATAGACTAGACTATAGACTAGACTATAGACTAGACTATAGACTAGACTATAGACTAGACTATAGACTAGACTATAGACTAGACTATAGACTAGACTACATACTAGACTATAGACTAGACTATAGACTAGACTATAGACTAGACTATAGACTAGACTATAGACTAGACTATAGACTAGACTATAGACTAGACTATAGACTAGACTATAGACTAGACTATAGACTAGACTATAGACTAGACTATAGACTAGACTATAGACTAGACTATAGACTAGACTATAGACTAGACTATAGACTAGACTATAGACTAGACTATAGACTAGACTATAGACTAGACTATAGACTAGACTATAGACTAGACTATAGACTAGACTATAGACTAGACTATAGACTAGACTATAGACTAGACTATAGACTAGACTATAGACTAGACTATAGACTAGACTATAGACTAGACTATAGACTAGACTATAGACTAGACTATAGACTAGACTATAGACTAGACTATAGACTAGACTATAGACTAGACTATAGACTAGACTACTATAGACTAGACTATAGACTAGACTATAGACTAGACTATAGACTAGACTATAGACTAGACTATAGACTAGACTATAGACTAGACTATAGACTAGACTATAGACTAGACTATAGACTAGACTATAGACTAGACTATAGACTAGACTATAGACTAGACTATAGACTAGACTATAGACTAGACTATAGACTAGACTATAGACTAGACTATAGACTAGACTAGACTATAGACTAGACTATAGACTAGACTATAGACTAGACTATAGACTAGACTATAGACTAGACTATAGGCTAGACTATAGACTAGACTATAGACTAGACTATAGACTAGACTAAAGACTAGACTATAGACTAGACTCTAGACTAGACTATAGACTAGACTATAGACTAGACTATAGACTAGACTATAGGCTAGACTATAGACTAGACTATAGACTAGACTATAGACTAGACTATAGACTAGACTATAGACTAGACTATAGACTAGACTATAGACTAGACTATAGACTAGACTATAGACTAGACTATAGACTAGACTATAGACTAGACTATAGACTAGACTATAGACTAGACTATAGACTAGACTATAGACTAGACTATAGACTAGACTATAGACTAGACTATAGACTAGACTATAGACTAAACTATAGACTAGACTATAGGCTAGACTATAGACTAGACTATAGACTAGACTATAGACTAGACTATAGACTAGACTATAGACTAGACTATAGGCTAGACTATAGACTAGACTATAGACTAGACTATAGACTAGACTATAGACTAGACTATAGACTAGACTATAGACTAGACTATAGACTAGACTATAGACTAGACTAGACTAGACTATAGACTAGACTATAGACTAGACTATAGACTAGACTATAGACTAGACTATAGACTAGACTATAGACTAGACTATAGACTAGACTATAGACTAGACTATAGACTAGACTATAGACTAGACTATAGACTAGACTATAGACTAGACTATAGACTAGACTATAGACTAGACTATAGACTAGACTATAGACTAGACTATAGACTAGACTATAGACTAGACTATAGACTAGACTATAGACTAGACTATAGGCTAGACTATAGACTAGACTATAGACTAGACTATAGACTAGACTATAGACTAGACTATAGACTAGACTATAGACTAGACTATAGACTAGACTATAGACTAGACTATAGACTAGACTATAGACTAGACTATAGACTAGACTATAGACTAGACTATAGACTAGACTATAGACTAGACTATAGACTAGACTATAGACTAGACTATAGACTAGACTATAGACTAGACTATAGACTAGACTATAGACTAGACTATAGACTAGACTATAGACTAGACTATAGACTAGACTATAGACTAGACTATAGACTAGACTATAGACTAGACTATAGACTAGACTATAGACTAGTCTATAGTCTAGTCTATAGACTAGACTATAGACTAGACTATAGACTAGACTATAGACTAGACTATAGACTAGACTATAGACTAGACTATAGACTAGACTATAGACTAGACTATAGACTAGACTATAGACTAGACTATAGACTAGACTATAGACTAGACTATAGACTAGACTATAGACTAGACTATAGACTAGACTATAGACTAGACTATAAACTAGACTATAAACTAGACAATAGACTAGACAATAGACTAGACAATAGACTAGACAATAGACTAGACAATAGACTAGACAATAGACTAGACAATAGACTAGACAATAGACTAGACAATAGACTAGACAATAGACTAGACAATAGACTAGACAATAGACTAGACAATAGACTAGACAATAGACTAGACAATAGACTAGACATACTGACAATAGACTAGACATACTAGACATAGACAGACAATAGACTAGACAATAGACTAGACAATAGACTAGACAATAGACTAGACAATAGACTAGACAATAGACTAGACAATAGACTAGACAATAGACTAGACAATAGACTAGACAATAGACTAGACAATAGACTAGACAATAGACTAGACAATAGACTAGACAATAGACTAGACAATAGACTAGACAATAGACTAGACAATAGACTAGACAATAGACTAGACTATAGACTAGACTATAGACTAGACTATAGACTAAGGACTAGGCTAAAGACTAGACTAAAGACTAGACTAAAAACTATACTAAAGACTAAAGACTAGACTAAAGACTAAAATAAAGACTAGAGTAAAGACTAGACTACAGACTATATACCCTGACTACAATTTTTGGATGCATTGGTTCTTTGTTAAACTGTTGGGCGATCGCTGTAGTAAAATTATAAAAGCTTTTTCGTAACATGAAATCAAAAAATATAAAATGTAATGAAAAGGTGAAAGCTTTTGGTTATTCTCTTTTAAAAATTCTCTCTTGCAGTGTAAATTGATTTACAAAAGCCTTTTTTTATTAAACTTTTAACATAAAGTTAATTGCTAAGTATTAAAGCTTTATGTAACAGTTGCTAAATTAATTTCGAAGATAAAGCTTAATATGTATTATTTACAACTTTTTAACGGATTTTTGTTTTTTTTTAAATTATGCAGATCTAAATTAAAATTTTCCAACAAAACAATATTATCTTGTTAATCTACGACGTGAATTTTGGATTCATTTCGATTTAGCCACATTGTTAAAGGTACCAAGCTTTCGCTTCTTTTTCTATAGTTCTTATAGTTCTTATAATACAACACCGTTAACACTGATGTCTATAAGTTGTAAAACGCACTTAATAGAGATGTCAAAGGGTAAGATACATTTGAGTTTAAATTGTACGCAACTGAGCCTAAAATCGGATACTTTGACTCATATATCTTGCTGTTAGAATCGAATACCTAATAATTTATTTGTTTGTTAGAATTTATACTCTAACCTTATTTACCGAGCCGAGGTGACGAAATTTTCGTAAATATTACGTAAGTTTTTCAATTTTCATTATAACTTACCCGTTAAATGATTTCCAAAAGATTATCATTATATATAGAATGCAGTTTTTATGTATACTTTTTCAAACATTTATTAAAAATATAAAACATGTAAATATTCTTAAACAAACAAAACATTTTACCTATTTTCTTATGACAATAAAAAAAGAGTTTAAGGAAGTGTTTTTAATACATATTTACAAATACAATATAATTTCAAGAACGAACACGAACACAAGCCCTCTTATGGAGTAGTTAACTGACATTGGTTATTATTATAAAATGATTCTTTCTGTTTACGACTTGAGTTTAAAACTAAAATATTTATACATAAAAAGTACTTAAGTTGATTTCAGAATTGAGTATAAACATTTTTACTTTAATATACAATAGGAAGAAATTTTTACGTTATAAAAAATGCACCGATAAAATCAGATTCTTTAGAATCTTTAAAAGAATGTTAAAAGTGCATTAAACTGTACATAAATTACTAGTAAATACATATACAAATAGTAGATATTATTATAAGTGTTAGGTTGTTGTGGGGCACCCTCTGGTAGACGACGATTCATATGTTGTTAGTTTAGTTGCTGTTGTAGGAGTAGAGGCCTCATTGTCATCGGTGGAAGATGGTGAGGAAGAGTTTGATAGCGATAATTTATCGCCTTGACCAGGATGTTGCGGTTGTCTTTGTGGGTAGTTATGCTGTTCGTTGGATTGATTACTGTGATTGCTTTGATCATCATGTGTTATAATTCTCAAGCCACTGGCTGCCGAGTCGGGATCGGAAGGTGCGTATGAAGAACTTCGACCAGGTGATTGAGGTTCGGAATGTGGTGTTGTGGAGCTTTCGGGACCGGCAATGGCATGTTTAGCTGAACTAGCGGTGGTGGCATTTAGTGGCAATTGTGTTACTTTGCCCATAAAGGAGCGTATTTCCTCGAAATAAGATTCTTCGGCAGGATTTTCACAAAAGCGTCGTAAACCGCCCCTTAATCGCTCGTTTAGTCCCAGACCCATAGAGGCAGCATCGGCTTCGTGCTTTTTCAAATGTCTATCCAAATTAGTTTGCTGGCCAAAACATCTTTCACATATTTCACACTTAAAAGGCCTCTCTTTGTTGTGAATATTTCGGACATGTCGTTGCAGGTTCGATGATATACTAAAGGAACGTTCACAGTATTTACATTTGTACGGCTGTTCACCCGTGTGGGTTCTCAAGTGACGCGTTAGATTTGCAGAGCGAGGAAATACTTTGCCACAAAATTTGCAGGTGTAGCGATCTTTAGATTTGTACGAAAGGTTACCCGAGACTTGAGTGTTTGTACGAGAGTTGACAGTAGTAGTAGTAGTAGTGGTTCGTTTATGACGATATGTTGCTTGGTTAGGAGTTGTAGCAGGCGCTGTTGGACTATTTTGATTGATTAGCAGGGAGTTGGTAAGATTTTCTGTTAAAGAACAGCGTGTTTGTTGTGTTGCCTCAAAATTAATGTCATTAAGCGTAGAAGCATCTGTAGTAGCTATAGGAGGTGTGGTTGTAGTCGCTGAGACTGTGCTGGAACTTTTTTTCGTGTCTTTACCAAGAGGTGTATTAAAGAAGGAAAAATTGGACGTATTCCCCGGTTGGTTTGGCCGCGGCATAAAGAAGAGATTTCTATATGGTAGGGGTGGCATTGCTTTGGCTATCGTCTCCAGAAGAGTGGGATGTAAAGCTGTAACGGGAAAAGGCAATTGTTCCAAATTGTTGGGTAACGATTTAGCCTGGTCCCTCAATACTCTTAATATTTTCTTACTATTCAAATTATCGAACTGATTACGCACCGTATGATTCTGATTCTGTTGCAATAAGCTGGTATCATTATTATTCATTTCATTTAAAAGGTTGCCCTCTAACTTTTCTTGATGTTCGGTTTGTATACGTAACGAATGATTGTTCATAATATTATTGTTATTACATTCCGAACTTTGACAAGATTTTTCCAAAGCCGCCGACGATTGTTTGTGGGATGAAGCTATCATAACTAAATTACTATTTTCATCTTCCATCATTTCTGTGGTAGAATTTTGATCATCTTCCTCTACACTAGCTGCACCAATTGCACCATCCTGTTTCTTATGGGCTAATCGTAAGTCTAACGGTTGATCTACAGTGCCACGCCTTCGTTCCTTGTGTTTTAGTTCTTTCTGTGTTTGATACAAGGCCGTCAGGGCCGATGTCAATGCGGTGGTAGAGGCTCTTGAAGGCGATGTCAAATCATAAGGTACATTTGAGTTTAAATTGTAGGGCACTGAGCCTAAAATCGGGTACACTGACCCTTGTTTGGGGCTGGGAAGCATTTTTCTAGGAGAATGGTGTTTTTCTCTCATACTAGAAATGCAAGTCAATACTTTTTATATTCTGCATTCAAGTTTGTAGCTCCTTATGACTTGTTGAATAATTTATTGTTGTTGTGTACAGTGTTTAGATTTTTATAATTCTCTTTCCGGATTACAAATTTTCTTAATTTATAGGTGGTTGTGCACATAGCCAATTGGATACCTGTAATTAGAAATGAGGGAAAAATTTGTTAAAATATAGAACTGATTTTTAAACATAAGTTCAGAGAATTTTTTAGAATTGATAACATGAAACACTACTACTTCTAGACTGGTCTAAGGTCCAGATTATATACTATGTATCCTACAGACGTGACTAGAATAGACTATAGAATAGATTACATACTACAATATATAATAGACTGTTGACCAGGCTATAGACCAGACTATAGAATAGACTGAAGACTACATTGTAGAATATATACTATACTATAGACTATTCTTGATACTTGACCATAGACTAAACTATCGACTAGACTGTCCACTAGACTATAGACGAAACTACAGACTAGATTATAGACTAGACTATAGGCTTGACTACAGACTAGACAATAGGCTAGACTATGGGCTAGACTACAGACTAGACAGCAGACTAGACTATAGACTAGACTATAGACTAGACTATAGACTAGACTATAGACTAGACTATAGACTAGACTATAGACTAGACTATAGACTAGACTATAGACTAGACTATAGACTAGACTATAGACTAGACTATAGACTAGACTATAGACTAGACTATAGACTAGACTATAGACTAGACTATAGACTAGACTATAGACTAGACTATAGACTAGACTATAGACTAGACTATAGACTAGACTATAGACTAGACTATAGACTAGACTATAGACTAGACTATAGACTAGACTATAGACTAGACTATAGACTAGACTATAGACTAGACTATAGACTAGACTATAGACTAGACTATAGACTAGACTATAGACTAGACTATAGACTAGACTATAGACTAGACTATAGACTAGACTATAGACTAGACTATAGACTAGACTATAGACTAGACTATAGACTAGACTATAGACTAGACTATAGACTAGACTATAGACTAGACTATAGACTAGACTATAGACTAGACTATAGACTAGACTATAGACTAGACTATAGACTAGACTATAGACTAGACTATAGACTAGACTATAGACTAGACTATAGACTAGACTATAGACTAGACTATAGACTAGACTATAGACTAGACTATAGACTAGACTAGACGATATGACTAGACTATAGACTAGACTATAGACTAGACTATAGACTAGACTATAGACTAGACTATAGACTAGACTATAGACTAGACTATAGACTAGACTATAGACTATACTATAGACTAGACTATAGACTAGACTATAGACTAGACTATAGACTAGACTATAGACTAGACTATAGACTAGACTATAGACTATAGACTATATAGACTATAGACTAGACTATAGACTAGACTATAGACTAGACTATAGACTAGACTATAGACTAGACTATAGACTAGACTATAGACTAGACTATAGACTGGACTATAGACTAGACTATAGACTAGACTATAGACTAGACTATAGACTAGACTATAGACTAGACTATAGACTAGACTATAGACTAGACTATAGACTAGACTATAGACTAGACTATAGACTAGACTATAGACTAGACTATAGACTAGACTATAGACTAGACTATAGACTAGACTATAGACTAGACTATAGACTAGACTATAGACTAGACTATAGACTAGACTATATATATAGATATAGATATATAGATATAGACTAGATATAGACTATAGACTAGACTATAGACTAGACTATAGACTAGACTATAGACTAGACTATAGACTAGACTATAGACTAGACTATAGACTAGACTATAGACTAGACTAGACTATAGACTAGACTAGACTATAGACTAGACTAGACTATAGACTAGACTAGACTATAGACTAGACTAGACTATAGACTAGACTAGACTATAGACTAGACTAGACTATAGACTAGACTATAGACTAGACTATAGACTAGACTATAGACTAGACTATAGACTAGACTATAGACTAGACTATAGACTAGACTATAGACTAGACTATAGACTAGACTATAGACTAGACTATAGACTAGACTATAGACTAGACTATAGACTAGACTAGACTATAGACTAGACTATAGACTAGACTAGACTAGACTAGACTAGACTAGACTATAGACTAGACTAGACTATAGACTAGACTAGACTATAGACTAGACTAGACTATAGACTAGACTAGACTAGACTAGACTATAGACTAGACTATAGACTAGACTATAGACTAGACTATAGACTAGACTATAGACTAGACTATAGACTAGACTATAGACTAGACTATAGACTAGACTATAGACTAGACTATAGACTAGACTATAGACTAGACTATAGACTAGACTATAGACTAGACTATAGACTAGACTATAGACTAGACTATAGACTAGACTATAGACTAGACTATAGACTAGACTATAGACTAGACTATAGACTAGACTATAGACTATACTATAGACTAGACTATAGACTAGACTATAGACTAGACTATAGACTAGACTATAGACTAGACTATAGACTAGACTATAGACTAGACTATAGACTAGACTATAGACTAGACTATAGACTAGACTATAGACTAGACTATAGACTAGACTATAGACTAGACTATAGACTAGACTATAGACTAGACTATAGACTAGACTATAGACTAGACTATAGACGACTATAGACTAGACTATAGACTAGACTATAGACTAGACTATAGACTAGACTATAGACTAGACTATAGACTAGACTATAGACTAGACTATAGACTAGACTATAGACTAGACTATAGACTAGACTATAGACTAGACTATAGACTAGACTATAGACTAGACTATAGACTAGACTATAGACTAGACTATAGACTAGACTATAGACTAGACTATAGACTGGACTATAGACTAGACTATAGACTAGACTATAGACTAGACTATAGACTAGACTATAGACTAGACTATAGACTAGACTATAGACTAGACTATAGACTAGACTATAGACTAGACTATAGACTAGACTATAGACTAGACTATAGACTAGACTATAGACTAGACTATAGACTAGACTATAGACTAGACTATAGACTAGACTATAGACTAGACTATAGACTAGACTATAGACTAGACTATAGACTAGACTATAGACTAGACTATAGACTAGACTAGACTATAGACTAGACTAGACTATAGACTAGACTAGACTATAGACTAGACTAGACTATAGACTAGACTAGACTAAGACTAGACTATAGACTATAGACTAGACTATAGACTAGACTATAGACTAGACTATAGACTAGACTATAGACTAGACTATAGACTAGACTATAGACTAGACTATAGACTAGACTATAGACTAGACTATAGACTAGACTATAGACTAGACTATAGACTAGACTATAGACTAGACTATAGACTAGACTATAGACTAGACTATAGACTAGACTATAGACTAGACTATAGACTAGACTATAGACTAGACTATAGACTAGACTATAGACTAGACTATAGACTAGACTATAGACTAGACTATAGACTAGACTATAGACTAGACTATAGACTAGACTATAGACTAGACTATAGACTAGACTATAGACTAGACTATAGACTAGACTATAGACTAGACTATAGACTAGACTATAGACTAGACTATAGACTAGACTATAGACTAGACTATAGACTAGACTATAGACTAGACTATAGACTAGACTATAGACTAGACTATAGACTAGACTATAGACTAGACTATAGACTAGACTATAGACTAGACTATAGACCAGTTTCTTTCCTAATACGTAGCCATGCCAACATTTTAGTTTACAGTCTGTAGATTGGTCTCTAATCTTGGCTAAAATCTGTAGTATAATCTAGTATGGACTTTAGCTTTCTGTATAGTGTGAACTATAACCTATGGTTTGGATTATAGTCTAGTCTGTAGGATGGACTTTTGTCTATACGACTTTCAAGTTGTCAAACTTAGTTAGCGTTTAAATAAATTGAAATTATTATACATATTTTGAAACTTAATTATTGCTAAACAATTGATGGTATCATCTTAAAAACTAAAGTGTGTGTTTATTTGTTTGCATATTCTAAAAATGGAGTTATGAAAATATTTCCAGATACAAGATTCAAAACAGTTTTTTTTTTTTTTTATTGAAATAATATTTGTTTAAGAAGAACTTGAAAATATGTTCAGCTATAAATATACATATAAAACAATAACAACAACTAATAAATAAAACCATTAAACGTAAATATTAATAAATAATTTCAAATCGTTCATTAAAATAAACTAATTATATTCTAATGAAAATGACGTATTTAAAAAAATGTATTAGGGTTCGCATTACTTTTAGCGGTTAGTTTAGATGAATAAATCGAATAATTTTTTTTCATTATTACTATATGAAACTACAAGTTTTTTGTCTTTTCCATTCAGGTGGAGGTCAATTTTTGTCTTCTTAATATCACAATATTATAATTAAATTATTTGAAGTTTTTTTTTTTCCATGCCCTAAAACCCAATTCACAGTTTTGTTATTTTTTTTTTTTTTAAATACGAACTACACGAGTCGTTGTTTTTTGCTTCTAATTTGTTTAGAGCATTTCTATTGTTTTTGTTTTATTCTCCCTTCAATTCAATTCTAAAACGTTAATTTGTTTTTCAGTTGTTAAATTGTGTATTTAGGGTTTCGTTCAGTGTTACTATTAAATGTTGCCACAACTACTTGTTATTATTACATATTTTTCAAAAATGTTTTTTTTTTTTTTTCGTTGGTAAATATTTAAACAATAGAACCTTTTTTGGTTAAATTTTCGTAAGTAGAAAAGAAAACAAAAGACTTGATGTACTGCCAGAACTTAGCAATTGTATATCTGTGTATGTTTTTTTAACATTTGTCAGTTTTTAAGGCCGAGTGTTGATAAAATAAATAAAAGCCATCATCACATGGCCTCAAAAATATAAATACCGTCGTCTTACATATGTACATATTTGTCATTTGTTGGAAACTTTTTTTTCTTGGCCAAAATGTTAAATTAAGTTTGATGCTGAAAATTACTTTAATATAATACGAAATATCTTTTA